GGGATAAGGGAGTGTAGGATAGAAACCTTGACCTCAAGGGACTGGGGCTGATAAGGAAACCAAGGAATTATTGTAATAGATTTTTATTGATATATTTTATTTCTTTTCATTAAGAACATTGGGTCAGTTCTGACTTTTATTGCCTTTGATTTCCTTATTTGTAAAACAAAGGGATTTGATTAGATGACCCCTGAGGTCCCTTCTTCCTCTAGAGTTATGATCCTGAAATGGCCTGCAACCAGATATAGAGCAGCAATAAATCAGTTGGCTTATTGGCAGTGGTAAGATCAGCTAAGGCAATCAAGACTCCCCAGCCACAATCACGCACATAAAAAATTGTTGTTGATATTGGCTGTTTTATGTCTGACTCTGCACCCCATTTGGGGTCATTTTATGAAACTGAGGCCAACAGGGTTGACTTGCCCAGGATAACACAGCTAGTAAGTGTCTGAGGTCACATTTGAACTCAGGTTTTCTTGACGCCAGTCCCAGCACTCTATCCACAGTACCACCCTTTGTATTTCTAGCACCTAACATAGGGTCTGGCACTCAATGGGCAAATAAAAAAAGGCAGCTAGGCTTAGTGTATAGTGAGCTGGCCTAAAGGTCAGGAAGACCTGGACAAGTCAAATGGCATCTCTTAGCTTCAATTTCCTCATCTATAAAATGGGAGCTATTATAACACCTATCTCACAGGGCTGTTGTGAGCATCAAATGAGACTATCCATATATGTGTGTGTGTGTGTGTGTGCGTGTGTGTGTGTGTGTGTGTGTGTGTGTATAGTATGTGTATATATGTATATATATATATATGTATATATATGTGTGTGTGTGTGTATAGTATGTGTATATATGTATATATTATATATATACACACACATATACCCTATATATATACACATATATACATATATATGTATATATACATATTTAGAGACTAGCTATTATTATATTATTATGATAAGTATATGGCATCATTATATAAACAATAATTAATTTTCATATTTTATTTAAATATATTCTTATCATCATATCATTTTCTCCAAGCAATTCTACAAATGGTAGAAATTGCTGATATATGTTAGTGAAAGAAGTTTCTACAATGATAGTTCCTTACCCCAGTGAAGTTGCAGTTGGGAGAAGAGGGGGAACAATTATACCTGAAGGCTACTAAAGCTTAGCGGCTAGAGAGTTGGCCTTGGAGTCAAGAAGACCTGAGTTGAAGTCCTCTGGCAAAGACTGACTATATGATCTTGGACAAGCCTGTCAATATCCAAGCAACTCTCAGAATATAAATTTCAGGCCAGATGCCAATCTGCCTTGATTAAAGGTAGTTTCCTCATTGGGAACTCTGGGATTCTAGTTTTCTATTCATTTATCTATCATCTTTCTTTCTCACCATTCTACCTACTTCCATTCTAGCTATCATCCTCATGGCCTCCTCACTGCCCCAGTTCCACCCTTGGGTAGCTGGGCTTCCTTCCCCAGGTGAACTTTCACGTTATCTTCCTGGGATCCTGCTCGGTCTGTATTGCTTCCCCTTCAGCTCCCTTTTATGTATCCTGTCAGAATAGAAGCTCTTTGAGGACAGGGGCTGTCTTCCTTGCTTTCATTTATAGCCCCAATAATTAGCACAGTGCCTGGCACATAATAAGTATTTGTAAATACTTTATCCATCTTTAGCTCTCTATAATAGTGGCTATATAGCATCTTAAAGGTTTGCAAGATGCTTTATATATATAAATCTAATTTTATATACATAATACACATAATCTAGAAACATAATCTCATTTGCTTCCCTTGAATTGAATTGACATGTTGAGGCATTGTGAGCTGAAAACAGACCTCAAGATACCTAGACCCTTTCAGGTATCTGAGTTTCCTACTAATGACTACTAGTAAGGTGGCACAGTGGATAGAGCACTGGCTCTGGAGTCAGAGAGACTCCTCTTACCAAATTCAAATCTGGCATCAGATACTTACTAGTTGTGTGACCCCAGGCAAGCCTCTTCACCCTGTTTGCCTCAGTTTCCTCACCTGTAAAATGAACTGGAGAAGGAAATGGCAAACCACTCCAGTATCTCTGCCAAGAAAACCTCAAATGGGGTCACAAAGAGTCAGAAATGACTAAGACATCTGAACAACAACAAATAGTTTTTATATTTGCTGGGAATTGGGAGCGGATGGAGAAAGGTTGGATGAACAAAGCGTCAGACACAACCAAAAGAACCAACTAAAAAAAAAAACCAACAAAGGCAGCTAGGTGGGACAGTGGATAGAGCACCAGCCCTGGAGTCAGGAGGACCTGAGTTCAAATGTGACCTCAGATACATAACACTGACGAGCTGTGTGACTCTGGACAAGTCACTTAACCCCAATTGCCTCACCTAAAAAAAAAAAGACAGCAATAACTACAGTTAGGCCTCTGGATCCAAGGAAATTTAACTTGGAATTGCTTTAATTTGAGGGTTCAAGATACTAAAGAATGTTACGAACACAAGCAAAAAATCTACAGTGCACATCATGCGATTTGTGTTTGCCAAATAATGAGTGTAATCTTAAACAATCAATGATCAAAAGTCTATTTCAGCAATTTCTAAACAACATTTTATCACTAAATTATAGACTTAGCCACTCAATAAGATGAAAAAAAAATCCATTAGTTTTTCTGCATCTCCAGGAGCTATGAAGGCCAAATCTTCAGGTATCAAAACTACAGGAATTTGATTTGCTGGGCCCTCTAGGCCATAGGGATCTGCTCTACTTTCAGCTGGGGGCAGCCAGTTATTATTCTGGGACTTGGTTACATACTGAGACACACTGTGGGACAATCTCAGTAACCATCGAAATTAGAGAGAGATTGTGGGAGCTGTTTATACACACCCAACTTGACTTTCTTTACTTTATAGAATAATTAAGTTAACTGTTCTATGCTGCAATTAGCATTTGCAATTAGACCCAGTCCTAGCAGGTTAGTTATGTGAATGTGCCCATTAGTGCTAAAGTACTAATAGGAAAAGAAGAAGAAAACAAAGAATTTAAGTAGCTGAGGGCCCTAATAATGCAACCCAAGCTCCACCTTAGAATGTGTTTTGGAGCTGGCCTAAGCAGGTAAGCCTATTTTCCTAAAGGGTCTTTTTCAGCCATTAACCCATAACCACAATAGGCAGTGATCCCAATGGGAGTTTACAAGTGGGAAGGGGGAGGGTGCCTCCAGAAGAGAAAATTAGGAGCAGAATAGAAATTTATAGTGAGGCTGAATTTGTCTCAATTTAAGGAAGAACTTGCTGTGAAAAAAAAAAATATATCAACAGCCAAATACAAAGACAAATTCTCAAGAGGTAGTAATTACTCATTAAGCACTGATTATGCGCCAAACACTATGCTACAAAAACAAACAAAAGTGGAAACAGTCACCTCCTGGAGAGCTTACATTTTTATTGAGGAGGTTCACTCTGCACAAGGCAAAGCAAATTAAAATACAATGTTACCTTGAGGAGGGCACTAGGGAGATGCTGCAGGGGAAGATTAGGGAAAATTGGATTTAGAGGGAGAAGCCTTGGGGTTAAAGGCACTGTTCTGCCCCTTGCTGACTATGAACCTGAACAAGTGATGTCGTCTTTGTGCTTCAGTTTCTTCATCTGTTAAAAAATTGTGTAAAATGAAGAATTTAGACTAAGTGATCTCTAAGGTCCTTTTTAGCTCTAAGCCTATGATCCAATCCACCAAGAATCCAATTCATTTAGAATAAATAACAACTTGTTTGCTTCAGTTTCCTCAGCTGTAAGGTTCCTTCCAATTCTAAATCGGAGATACTATAAAGTAGAAAAATCAGAAGAGGCATCCTGTAGGAGGTGGCATTTTAGTAAGCCCTTGAAGAAAAGCTGTGGATCCTACAGGTTGCAGAGAGATTGCATTCTAGGCAAAGTTCAGTTTTGTTGCTGTTCAGATTTTGTGACAGGCCCTTCTGTCTTCCACCAGCTCTGTCCAAGTTCATGTTCATTGTTTCCATGATACTATCTATCCATCTCATCCTCTGCTGGTCCCTTTTCCATTTGCCTTCAATATTTTCCAACATCAGGGTCATTTCCAATGAGTCCTGTCTTCTCATTATGTGGCCAAAGTATTTAAACTTCAGCATCAGCATTTGCCAGAGCAATATATGATAAACTTGAAAGGGAGGGTGGAACCAGATTGCCACAGGCTTTAAATGAGAAACAAAGAGTTTTTATGTAATACATAGGCTTTCTATAATAATACACAGTGGGTTATGTAATATTCAAGATAGTAGACCACATTCAGAAGGTTGGGGTTTTTTTAATATGTTCTTTTGTTTTTATTTTTCTTTATCTAATGAAAAGCTTGAAATCATAGCATCTATATGCTATGCACGAAAGTCGTTTCTGATCCTGCCACCAGGTGGCAGAATCAGCAAATCATCTTGAGAACTGAAAAAAGGTGGAGCTTTCTTCTGTATTTCAGGCTGATTCTAAGTCCTTCCTACTGCATCATAGAGTACACTGTATCTCCATTGTCATACATTATTATTCACCTGGTAAAACTATTCGTTTAATAGTGTTAACCATAAATGGAGGAGAGAGGTCCTGGAAATTCCCTCCCTTGAAACAGATTGGTAACCACTGTACCAAATCTCAGAGATTTGTCTTGGGCACAGAGAAATGTCCACACAGTACTGCATGTGTGCCTGAAATAGCATTTAGACCCAGGAGTTCCTTATTCCAATGCCATTCCTCTAGCCTCTTACCCATACTGCCCTCTTATATGATCTTTACTGTCTTTTTCCTTTCTCCAAATCTGGAGATCCCACTTCAATTGCTTTTATCAATTCTCTTTAGATTTTTCATCTGATGGGTCATAGATTTTTGCAGGTCAAAAGAAATTGAAGGTTCTACTAAGTCCCATTAGTCAGAAGTTCAATTGTTCTTGCTTTTTTTTTACACTGATTTTCCTTTTGAAATCTCTCTTTTTGTTATATTAAGGAAGAAGATATCAAGAACCAGAATGGGTCAGGAAGATATTCACTGAGAAATCGTAATGAACAAAATGGGAATAGGATAAATGTCCACCAGGTATGGTATGATTTTTGTTGCTGTTGAGGAAAGGCACCAGCTACAGTGACTACTATTGTTGGTTCATAGGCACAAAAGTGATGGGTCACTTATTAATCTGGAAGAGAGGAAATGTACCTCAATGGCATTTTTGCCATAGTCAAATCTAGGGTCAGTCTCAGCATTAAGGAGACCTGGATTATAGTCCTATCTCTGACATCTACTGGCTGTGTGGCCCTGGCCAAGTCAGCTTACTTAGTGCCTCCAGCAACTCTGAATATAAACTGCCGAAGAACTGTATTAGGAGTTTTCCACACTGAATTCACAGATCTGTTTAAAAAAACTAAAATGTGTAAGACAAAAGGGAGAAAATAGTTATAGATGATTGTACCAACTTCTCCTAAACTGTAGAAATGCAAGGCAGAAGAGTAATGGGATCATCATAGTCTTAGAGCTAGAAGGACTTGGAGGTCACCTGGTTCAACCCCCTTATTTTACAGATGAGGAAACAGGCCCAGAGAGGTGCACTTATCCATTTAAGAATGACCATAGTCAGAATTTGAACACAGTGTCTTTTGACTCCTGATCTAAAACTTTTTTCTATTGTGATGGTGCAGTGCCTCTCATTTTTCTGGGACACACCAGCAATTCCCTTCTTCCAAGTCTCCCTTCTCAAGACAGGAAATGTTAGCTTAAGTTATAGAGCCTGGAGTCCAAGTAAAATATAGATCTTGTTAGAATTTGTAAGCATTTGATAGACTGCATCAGCTTCATGGGTTAAGACTGGTAGAGGAGACAACAGAACTATATAGCATATAACATGATGGGCAGCTAGGTGGCAGTGATAGAGTGCTAGGCCTGGAGTCAGAAAGTTGTGAATTTAAATCTGATCTTAGACACTGCCTAGCTGTGTGACTCTGGGCAAGAAAGCTCCAAATAGGGTCACAGAGGAGGACGCCACTGAACAACTCTGATGTAGAAAGGAAGCAGTTCAGCTTCACCTTCCTTCAGTATCAGCATCAAGATAAAAACATTCAGGGACTACTAGGTGGCTCGGTGGATAGAGTACCAGCCCTGGAGTCAGGAAGACCTGAGTTCAAATCCAGCCTCAGACACCTACTAGCTGTGTGACCCTGGGCAAGGCACTTAACCCTGTTTGCCTCAGTTTCCTCATCTGTAAAATGAGCTGGAAAAGGAAATGGCAAACTACTACAGTATCTTTGCAAAGAAAACCCTAAAAGGGGTCATGAAGAATCAGACATGACTGAATAACAACAAAAAGTGGGGATACTCTGACAGGAACTCTATGAGTCACAAATGACATAATGCATGGAAAGTGCCTCCACAAAAAAAAATAAATAAATAAAAGCATCATTCACTCAATGACCACATCACAGTATCACAGTAGTTTGTTGCTACTCTATTTACTCACAACTAAGATAATTTAAACATGTCCCTTCCTTCACAGAGGTTATGGTCTACCCATAATGATATGTACAAATATGATAATTATGCAATACTCCTAAGGAATTGTTCAAGTATTATAACCCCTGTTTTATTTTATTATCTCCCTATTATAACTAAGAAAACTGAGGCTTAGGGAGGTGGTGATATACGCTTGGTCACTTAGCTAGTTAGTATCTGAGGTAGAATTTGAACCCAGCTCTATAAGTCAGTCTAGTCTAATGCTCTCCATTCTACTCTACTCTATACACTGTTCAATATATACCACATACTATGTATACTATGTTATACTAATTAATAATCATCAGCAAACATTTATTAAGCATCTATGTGCTAACCACTGTGCCAATCATTAGAACACACTGTTCTATACTATGCTAACTAAACCATATAATATAGTACATTAACTTTACTATACTATACTATACTATACTATACTATACTATACTATACTATACTATACTATACTATACTAACTATACTATAGTTTACTTATACTATACTAAATCTACTTAGTATACTCTGAGGAATAGACTTTTGTTGCTTGAGCCTGTCACCTTACTTCCTGGACTTCAGTTTCCTTATGTGAAACAAGTGTACTAGATTATATATTCCATCTATTGAAATTCATCAGAAAAACACATAATCCACTCCAGTGAGGACCTACCATTGTGCTAGGCTCAAGGGTACAAAGACAAAATGAAAAATTATTTAAATTAAATTATTCCCACCCTCAAGAAGTTTATAATCTGAGAATGGAGGAGGGGGACATTTAATAATAATAATAATACTAAAAAAAATAAATAATAGCATTTATATAGCTCTTTAAAATTCACAAAGAGTTTTACAAATATTGTGTCATTGGAGCTTCACAAGGATTATTATTATCCTCATTTTACAGGTGAAGAAATTGAGGCAGAGAGAGGTCATATGATTTGCTAGAAAATGTTTAAGGCTAGATTTGAACTCAGTTCTTCCTAACTCCTAACTATCCGCTGTGTCACCTAGCAGATAGGAAAGAGCACTAATAATGAGGCGGATTAGAAATGCAGCACATGAGCGGTAGCTAGGTGGAGCAGTGGATAGAGCACTGGCCCTGGATTCAGAAGGACCTGAGTTCAAATCAGATCTCAGACATATAACACTAGCTGTGTGACCCTGGTCAAGTCACTTAACCCCATTGCCTAGACAAAAAAAAAGGCATCCATAAAAAAAATAAAAAGAAGAAAGGTGGCACATGAGTTGGACTTTGAAAGAAACCAGATGTATGGATAGATAGATAGATAGATAGATAGATAGATAGATAGATAGATAGATAGATAGATAGATAGATAGATAGATAGATAGATAGATAGATATAGGGCATGGGGTAAGTTGAAGATGAAGGGGTGATATCTGGAGAATAAAATTAAGGGGTAAGAGAGGATTATACTAGGAGAAGGAAAAAGGGAGAGGTAGAATGGGGTACATTATCTTGCACAAAACAGACAAGAAAAGGTTCTTACAGTGGAGGGGAAACAGGGGAAGGTGAGAGGAAATGAGGGAATCTTATTCTCATAGGATTTGGCTTAAGGAGGGAATAACATACACACTCAATTGGGTATGGAAATCTGTCTTACCCTACAGGAAAATAGGGAGGAAGGGGACAAGAGAGCAGGGGGATGATAGAGAGAAGGGCAGATTGGGAAAGGGGTAATCAGAAGGAAGTACTTCTGAGGAGGGACAGGGCCAAAAGAAAGAATAGAATAAATGGGGGGCAGGATAGGATTAAGGGAAATAGAGTTAGTTTTTTACAACATGTCTACTATGGAAGTGTTTTGCATAACTGCGCATGTATGGCCTGTATTGACTTGCTTGCCTTTTCAATGAGGGTGGGTGGGGTGGGAGGAAGGGAGAAAATTTGGAACCCAAAGTTTTAAAAACACATGTTTAAAAAAAATGTTTCCACATGCAACTGGGAAATAAGAAATACAAGAAATGAGGTACAGAAATCTATCCTGCCCTACAGGAAAATAGAAGGGGAAGGGGATAAGAGAAGAGGGGGAGAGATAGAAGGGAGGGCAGACTAGGGGAAGGGGTATTCAGAATGCATGCCATCTTGGGGTGGGGGAGGGGAGATGGGGTGAACATTTGGAACTCAAAAACATGTGGAAGTGAATGTTGAAAGCTAAAAATAAATAAATTTATATATATATATGTGTATATATATACATATATACACATATATACACACATATATACATATATACGTATATATACATATATACACATATACACACACACACACACATATATATGTGTGTGTGTATATATATATATATATATATATATATATATATTGAAGAAAGAAACCAGAGGCAGAGTTGAAAAAAGAATGCCTTCCCACCATGGAGGAAATCTTGTGCAGAGACACAATGACAGGAGATAGAATGCCCAGCTTGGGGAACCACAAAGGCTAATTTAACTGAAATATAGAGTGCACAAAAGGGGGTCATGGACTTGACCCAAAATAGAGAGTTTGAATGAGAGTCAGAATTGGTAGAACAGGTTAGGATGCTTTCTTATCCAAGGTGGGTGGGAGGACACAGATGAGTGTGACTGACATTATGGTAGAGTTGTTTCTGTGGTTCAACACTATAGGAAAACTCCCAGTAGGGAAAAACTCCTAATTCAAACAAGCACCAGCTCTGAACCTTAGAGAGTTGCTTGAGCCATTAAGACAGAGGTTAAGTGACTTGCCCAGGGTCATACAGCTAGTGGGGGGTGGGGGGGAGGGGTAGTGTCCAGTTCTTACTTCTGTGGCCAGCTTTTTATATCCACTATGCCATGATGCCTCTCAAAAATTCTATCTTCTTTTTTCAAGGTTTATTTTTATTTTATTATAAAAAAATACAGATTCCAAAGTTGGGTGGTGATGGGTAGTGGGGAAAGGGCCAGAAGTAGGAGATCCCACACAATAGGCTGGAGGAAGAGGCAGAGGAGAACTGAGGAGGATATTCAATGTGGGAGACCACCAGAAAGGGGATGGGGCAGAGCACACCTGGCAAACCAGACCTTGGTAGGGGAAATCATTTTCCCTAAATTCTCCTTACAAATTTTTCCTCTCATTGTGTCCTCAGGGCCTTGTTATTAATATACATTATATGTTATATAATATATATATGTATGTATATATACACACATAGATTAAGGAAAGAAAGATAGAAATATGAAATCTGTATAAATGTGTTTACTCCATTAAAATGTCTGAAGGATTTTTTTTTTAAATTTTTGTCTATCTATTTTCCTTAGAAACTATTATGGGTGGAGGGAGGGCACAGATGGAGGAGAAACAGACAAAATGTGCTTATTGCAAGTTATAGCTTCTAACCCCTGGGAAAAGGAAGAGAGAAAGAGAAAGGAAAAGGAAAGAAAAAGGAAGGTGGAGAGAGAGAGAGAGAGAGAGAGAGAGAGAGAGAGAGAGAGAGAGAGAAGAGAGAGAGAGAGAGCGCTCCAAGTTCATTCTCAGCATTACATTAAAAATAAAAATAAATCTCAGTTTATGCCTGAGGGATCTATTTACAGAAATATAATGTCTGCTCCCTTCCTCAGAGACAGATTAGAAGTCATTTGATTCATTTAGATTCATTTGCATTTGGGAAAAAAAAGGAAAGAAAGAAAGAAGCAACAGGGTCCTTAATAAAAAGGTGGGGTGAATGGGTGGATGGGTGGATGGGGTGGATGGGGTGCCGAATTGTGGCCTGGTAGAGGGATTTGTTAGCTTTTCCTTTTTTTTTTTTTTGGCAATTAAGTGACTTGCCCAGGGTCACGTAATGTGTGTCTGAGACACATTTGAACTCAGGTCCTTCTGACTCTAGAACCAGTGCTCTATCCACTGTGCCACCTAACTGCCCCTAGCTTTTCTCTCTGGGACCTGCAGGAGACTCAAGCCTGCACCAAGGCTAAGAACTGGAAAGGGAGACAGAGACCAGGGTAAGAAATGGGGAGGAGGCTTTGTCTCCTCCAAAGAGGGCAGTAAGGGTCATTTTTGTTTCCTAAGCCTCCTTCGAGGGGCCAGTGGCTTCAGATGAGGATCTGGGTCAGCACAACATCTGGGGAGATCGAGAGCGGCCTTGTTTCTAGGCTCTTGCCTCAGACTCTTGGCTTCCAGTGGGGATAAGAAGAGGGAACTAAGATAACAAGTAGGGCTATCCCTCCTAAAGTCTACCAAAATGTGCATGTCCCCAGGGGGTGCTTCCACCTTCACCCCAGTACTGTCCCCCAGAAAAGAAAAAACCCACAGTCCTGGAGCCAAACCTAAGAGATCCCAGATGGTCCATTGGAGCAGCCATGACCTTACTTGATTGGGGTGTCAAGGGAAGATAAAGCCAGAGATGGATGCTAGAAATCAGGAGTTCCCCTATGACCCATGGGGAAAGACCACAGTGGGAAGGAGATAGGCCTGGAGCTTCCCCAGAATTGTGGACTCAGGATACATGTATTTGAGTGTTTTGGTGGAGTACTGAGTAGAGAAGGTGATGAATAGATGCTGGGGGGAGGAAGAAAATTAAAAATTCTATTTTCTTGCACAAAGAAGCTGGGAGTAGGGACCAGTTTTCTAACTACCTATGTCCATAAGAACAGAGGTAATTCACCACTGCTGGCATCTGGGAGAACTCTTTAAAACACCAACATCTTTTACAATGGTTGTAGTGTTGGGAGGAACAAAAATCCTTCTGAAAAGCGTAGGAATAAATTTAACCTTGAGAGGGCCAAGAGGGTACTCGGTCTGTCCAAATAAAAGAAACTCTATAATATCTTGGAAGGATATACAAGGCAGCTAGGTGCTTCAGTAGATAGAGTGCTAGATGTGGAGTTAGGAAGACCTGAATTCTCAAGTCCAGCCTCAAACACTTAATAGCTGGTGTAGCCCTGGCGAAGTCACTAGACCACTGTCTGCCTCAGTCTACCATTGGGGATAATAGCACCCACCTCCCAGGGTTGTTGGGAGGGTTAGATAATATTTGTAAAGCATTTCACTAATAGAAATTTGAGCAATTGTTATTTAAAAAATTATTTATTCATTTATTTATTTATTCTGTAATATACTATCTCCAAGGGCCATTATCTAGAGAGGCCTATGGATCAACAGAGCCCAGGTACCCTCCAACCAAAGTAAAATCAGCACTGACCTCTCAGACCTTTGGAAAATAACCCATGTGAGTTGTGCCAATATTTAAAGGGAGGTTATAATAATTCTTGTGGCGAAGACTTTGATTTGATTGGCACAAACATCCTTAGAACCAGATGATGGAATGAAATGGCTACAATTTCGATTGGATATACAACAGAAGAGTAAAAAGTATACATTATTCCTTCCTTTAAAGTATACATTATTCCTACATTTATGAGAAAGAGTGAGGAAAACGGTGGATTCTGGAACATTTTGTGTTGGAAAAAAGCACATAATAGGTGGCCAAGAATTGCTCTCATTTTGAACTAACAAATTTAGGTTTAAAAATGAATCAAATTCTTGAACAATCAGATATCAGAATAATTCTCAACAGAGGAAATGGAAAACCCATTCGACTTTTTCTATTCTTTTTCAGCTTCTGTTTTAACATCTATTTAATTTCTCTTCCTCCTACTTCCTGCCCTGAATTGGAATAAAAAAGAAAGAAAAAACAAACCTATGTAGCACGTAGGCATGTTCGAGCAAACCAATTTTCACATTGGTCATGTCCAAAAATGTATGTCTCTTTCTGCATCCATTAGACTGAGAGCTTTCCTTCTATCTCCAGCTCTTACCATAGTGCCTGGAACACAGCAGGTACTTAATAGATGTTTATTCACTGACTAGCAACTTCACCTTTCTATCTGGGAGAGAGTTGTCTTTATTTTTCCCATGTATTTTCTTTTCAGGGGGAAGAACATGTCACTATTGAGCAAGATCTCCCCAAACAGAAAGGAAGCCTAGAGGAAAGTGAACTGACACACCAGAAAGGGTATGACTTTTAGATGTTCAAATGTAACACAAGCTTCCTCGAACCTTTACCATCCCCCAATCCTACTCGCTGACAGGTTTCTTCATGGAACTGAAAGGGCTTCACACACACACACACACACACACACACACACACACACACACACCAGATGGGTCAATGATAAAAGTAATAGGTCATTTTATTTGGCATGTTTGAGGGAAGGATCAATAGGCAAGGCCACATGACCTAATTAGAGATAGCCAACGGAAGGGAGTAACCAGAGGTGTGTATTTTCTATGTTTTTTTTTAACAGCCAGATCACCAGGAGTGAAAAATATATGCACAACATACATTTAAGTTTTATCTGTTTTGTTGACATTTTCTTCATCACTTTCTTAAGTCTACACAATCAATGAAACAACAAATCAGGCTCTGATTTTTAATATTTGTTGATTTCTGAGGTGTAATGACTCAATCAAAAATTTAACAATTTGTTCTTAGAAGTTCACAGCCTCAGTATACCCCTGGGTATACCACTAACCCCTTCACACCAGGGCCAGGACTGACATAAAGCAGAGTTGGGAAGGGTGGGAGACATGATACAACTAAATAAAACTTCTGGCATGATGGTTTTCAGGCCATGATAAGGGGCTATGATTGTCTTACACAAAATTTCTCTCTGGATTTGATGTATGGTTGCCCAATCTTTTACTGGGATGCCTGGATGCATATTTCAGGACAGTTGTAGAGTCAGGGTAACACAAGTATTTGATGAGGATGGTAAAAGGTCCTGCTGAGATGAAGCTGATTAGTTTCCCACCCTTTAGGGTCCCAGACAAGGATATACCAACTAGCTAGTGTGGAATCCAAAATTGTCCAATCTGCAGGAAAAATCACTGAGGCAGAGCTCCAAGCCAATGACACTTTATTAAAGGGTCTGTGGCCCCCTTTAATGAAGTAGACCTCAGATCTTCTCATGATCTGAGATGCCCCTAGTCCCCAGGACCTTACTTATAAGGTTTGATACCCAAATATGCGAAAGAGGCATGGTAAAAGGACAGAATCTCACTAGTTGATAGATCTTGCTCTTGTGGATCAAAAAAAAAATTTTTTTAAGGCAGTTGGGGTTAAGTGACTTGCCCAGGGTTACACAGCTAGTGTTGAGTGTTTGGTCTGAAGCTGGATTTGAACTCAGGTCCTTCTGACCTCAGAGACAGTGCTCTATCCACTGCACCACGTTGAGGATCAAAAATTAAGATGGGCAAAGCAAGAGTCTCTGGTGACCAAGTGGTCATAGATGATCACCTAATCATGTTGGACAAGAAAGGGAGGTCCAGAGGTACAAAAATAAGTTGGGGGACTTTCCAAAGAATCAAGCATCCCCCACACACTGGGTTTGGACATGGAATTTGAGTAAAATAGGATGGAGATATCATCATCAGCATTCTTGTGGTTACACAAGTGAGCTACATAACCAGTAAACAAGTAGTGAATATTACATTAAAGTTTGAGACCCACTATAAAAGCCTACCATAAGAACCTATCTTATCTAATGACCCCTAAATGATTTATGTAAAATATCAAACTAGTTAATACTGATTGGAATAGAGTAGGGGTCTAGAAGTTTCTAACCCTGAGTTTGAAACCTGATTCTGGGCCTCTGACTGTAAACATAAGGAGGTTGGACCAGATATCCTTTAGAGTTCCTTCCAGTTCCACATTTATGATCTTATGACCCTATGAATTAAAATAAGGAGAAAAATCTAACCCACTACCATCCCCTGTAATAGTAGCATATGGCAACCACAGCTTATCACACACCTGAGACCTAAAAACCTTCAGATGGAGTTCAAATTTACAAGTACTTGTCATTGAACATTTACCTTAAATCAATAGAACTCTATTTTGCACCTAGGGCACTATGGTAGTTAGGGAGCCATGGGAGATGGGTGGCATATGTATGGTGCCTTTCTTTAAGGAGCTTATTAGAGATTCAAGCCTTGAAGGGCTTGCAATATAATAATCAAGTTCCAAAATCAATTAGGCATCTGGGAATTTCAAAGGAACTTATTTCCTTCAGTCTCAGGCATGACTGCCATACTTGATGTGTTTGCAGGAAGAGTGGTTTGAGTTCCTTTGCTCTTTCACCAACTCCACATCTCTGAAAGTCACAAAATAATGATCAGAAACTAGGGGACAAATGACTCCGTCCTCTGAAGTCAGACCTATCCACTGATGCAGTCAAGATATATCAATATCTTCTATTTCAATATTGGCCATCCACCGAAATCCCTAGATCTTTTTCCATGGGAACTTTTCTTTTGCCCTGCCTCCAGCTCTCTGGAGTTTTGGCTTTTGGAACCCAAACACAGAAACTTTTATTTATCTCTATTACATTTCATCTTACTTGATTCAACCTGTAATTCTAACCTCTGGAGCTATCCCAATGTGTTAACTATCCCTCCCAGATTCTGATCATTCACAGATGACAAGCATGCCAAGTTGTTGATTAAAAATATTGAGCAGGACAAGGTCATGAACAAACAGATGATCCCTGAGGCATGCCCTTGAAATTTCTTTCCAAGTTTACCTTGACCCATTAACAACTATTCTTTTGGATTTGGTCGATCATTTTTTAATCCATTGGACCATGTATCCATCTAACTCATATCTCTGTATCTTGTCCACAAGAAAAGCTTCAGAGACTTTGTCAAATGATCTGCCAAAATCTAAAATATACAGGGTCCACTGTATTTCCCCAGTCTACCAGTTCTATTTAGGGTTTTGTTGGGGTTTTTTTGGTTTGTTTTGGTTTGTTTTTTGGGGTTGACAGGGGTTGTCATTAGGGGAATGGGGAACTGATTGGACCTGTGATTTCAATGCTATATGTAATCCCCAGTAAGGAAACTTCTACCAATTCAGATCAGTACCTGCTCTGCACCTTGTGGTCTTACAGAGTTGCCTGAAATTCACAGAGAGGTCAAGTCTTCCCCAGAGTATGTGACTTGATCCATCTCCATGATTCCAAGGATGATTCTCAGCCCACTATATGACTGCCTGTCTTGCCAATCTAAGGTAAATGAGATTGGTGTGACCTATTTTTCTTAATGAAATCATGCTGGCTTTTTGTGACTACTATTTCCCTTTCTAAATGCTAATGAACTTTCCCTTCAACATGTTCTAGAATTTTGCCAAAAATAGAAATCAGGTCCATGTTTTGCATACTCATCCTCTTTCCTTCTTTTGAAAAACAAGTTAATATTTGTACTTCTCCAGAATCATGCCACCTCTTCCATTCTCCAGGATCTTTCATAGATTTCTAACACAAGCTCAGTAATCATATTTTCCAGTTCTTTCATCAATTCAAGCTAAAGTTCATACAATTAAATACTGTCTTGCAATCTCAGTTATTTCAGGTTTCCACTCATTTTTAAAAATTCAGCTCCTTACACTGTCATCTCATCTACCTTTCAATTTCCTCATCTCAAAAAATAATGTTATTTTTCAATAGTTTTTCAGTCATGCCCAACACTTCATTGCCACATTTGGGCTTTTCTTGGCAAAGATACTGGAGTGGTTTGCCATTTCCTTCTCCAGCTCATTTTACAGATGAGGAAACTGAAGCAGACAGGGTTACTTGACTTGGCCAGGGTCACATAGCTAGTAAGTGTCTCAGATCTTCCTAAATCCAGGCCCAGCACTCTATCCATTGTGCTACCTAGCCGCCCATCATGTTATATGCTACAGAGTTCTATTATTATCTCCTCTACCAATCCCCAATCATAAAGCAGCTCCTTGCAAAAAGAGATTGTTTTATTCTTTTTGCTTGTATCCCCAGTACCTAGCATAGTGACAGGCACAGAGCTGGTATTTAAATACTTGTTGATTGATTTAGGTATTCCATAAACTCCATATGGTCTACAATACCTTAAAGATCTCTGATTTTATGACACACATGAAACCCTACTTAAAAGCACTTCATCTTTAAATTTGAAGTTACTGAAAACAAATTTTTATTTTTGAGACTTTAGAGGGGCAAATTTCTTGACAGCCCTTGAGATAACTGGAGAGCACCCCAGGGCATTACAAAACCAAGGTTGAGAAGCACTGCACAGAAGCCAAAACATTCTCATCATGTATCAACTTTCAAGGACATTTACCCAGAGAAATCTGAGCTTCCTTTCCAATTTCATTTTACCTTAAGATTCTTTGAAACACTGTAAAACTCTAGAGGTTGAGAAAGTCCCTTGAATGGCAAAGAGGCACTCATGTTTCAGCTAATGTTTATGGGAAAACACATCCACCGGATGCCTGAAATCATTTCTGAGAGATAATCAAACATTGGTGACATATTTCCAGCTAGATTATGTATGAGGTGCACAAGGGACAAACAGAGGCAAATTTGAAAGTTTTCCCTTATTCCTTGGGATTTAAAAAATATTAGCCTCCAAGTAAATTTACCTTGTCACAATTGTCCTGTCCCCCAACTTTTAATTTGTTGACCAGGTGGTCCCAGTTAGCATTTGTATAACACTTTAAGGTTTTCAAGGTGCTTTACACATATTAATCTCATTCAGTCTTCACAACAATCTGGGAGGTAAGTGAAACTTCAATCAATCACACGATCATACAGCTTGAACTAGAAAGTCCATCCCATCCAATACCCTCATTTTACAAATAAGGAAACTAAGGCCCAAGGAGGTTAAATGACTTGCCTCAGGTTACTCAGACAGTACCAGAAATGTACATTTAAACCTAGGTGCTCTGACCCTAGAGCTAGTGATCAAAAGTTCCACTGTTATGATGTCTCTCTACCCAAGGTCACACAGCTATTAGGGCAGAACTTGAACTAGAACACGGTTTTTCCTTGCTTAAAAGGCTAGCTCTAGGAAAAAAAAAAAAAGGCTAGCTCTGGCTAGCCAAACTGGCTCCTATATGCTCACCTGGACAAAATATCAAAATGTTAAGCGTACAACAAAAGAATCAATTAAAAACCTTTCCTAGGTAAAAGATTGGGAACCAGTAACTCAATCACAACTGTATTTTTCCTTGTGCCTCCAAATTACATTCTATAATATAAACAATACATCCTACCATTATAGAATCCATTCTTGGCTTTCAGTAAGTTTTTCCATGTCTTTTATTCAATATGAAAGAAAATAAGTTGTAGAGTTTACAATACATATGCATATAACAAAGAGATAGATTTTTCATAAAGAAACTTCATTTGGAATCTAAACATTTTTTAGTATCATAAAGTTGTCAAATGTTTTGTCAGGACACAATTAGTGTGACCCTTGATTCTGTTTCTTGTCAACCTATAGTTTTATTCTCTGTATAGTTTTTGAAAAGACACCCATATATCATGTTTGGTTTCCAGTCTGTTTACATTTTCCCATCAGTATATCTATAAAGATCTCCTTTTCATTTCCAACTCCTAGCTTCCCTCAAATCCCAGCTAAAATCCCACCATCTGCAGGAATCCTTTCTAAATCCCCATTAGTTCCACTGCCTTCCTTCTATTATTTCCAATTTATACTTTATATAGCTCATATATAGTTACATAGCTTTTTGCAAGTTGTCTCCCACGTTAGACTGTAAGCTCCTTGAAGCCTTTTCTTTGTATCCCAGCACTTCGCCCAGTGCCTGGCCCAGAGTAGACATATAATACTTATTGACCGATTGATTGTTCCTTGCTTTGATTTGATTTGCAAGAAAGATTAAGAATCCTGATTCTCTGAGGCAAGTTGTTACAAATGGAATTAAGGTTATAAATTAAACCAAATGGAATTAGTTTAGTAAGAATGGGACAGGCTTTTCTCAGGGTATGCTGAAAATTTTGTAACCTCATTGATTAGAAATGATACAGATTTCAATTACATCATCTTGAATGATGTTGAATGAAAAGGCTTTTTGGCCCCAAACCTCATTCATTGGGTTTGGGTTGGTAGGAATTATTACCCCAATTTCACTTTCAAATCTTTCAGATGCATCATTACATCAATAGAAAGTCCCTCCCTTTCCCACTCACCTTGGTCTTCACCAAGTCTCTCTCCAATCCACATATTTACCACTACAACTTTGGAAGATTTCAATAGGATAATAGTTATTTGGCAAAAATTCCCCATATTCCCCCTGGAGCATTAGTAATCCCTACCCTATTCTAAATCTACTTCAATTGTTGCTTCTACTTGGCTAACATTCATTTCTTTTAATAGATAGATAGATAGATAGATAGATAGATAGATAGATAGATAGATAGATAGATAGATAGATAGATAGATATGGTTTATTGATGTATTTTTTATATCACCATATCTCTCCACTTCTCCCTCCCAGAAAGCCATCCCATAAAAGATAAAAGAAAAAGAGAGGAAAAAAATAACTGATACATTGAACACTGTGGCAGACACCTCCCACCTCTTAACAAAAAAAGTGGAGTGGGAGCCATTTGTTTCTTTCTACCTAAATTCTTTACTTTGTCTCTTTTTGTATTTTCACAGGTACCTAAAAAAGAAGTATGATGAGACTTGTGACTTCTTTAGGAAGCATAAAGCTGCAATCCAATACATCTTCTATGGCATTTTATTAGCAGGTACTTCAGTTGGGAGGGACACAAGCATCTTTTTCAGGTTTCAGTTGAAGGGCTGGGCTTCTAAGTGGGATGCCGAGGAAAACTCTTCACTTGTGCTAGAGGGAAAATGCATCCTATCCTTCAGAGCATCAAAAATGTATGTGGTCAAGATGCTCTTTGCCACACACACAAAGCATAGGGAAAGTGAACACAAGTTGTTCTCCTTGAAATTCCCAGTTTATGAGGCAACATGACATAAAAATGATTGAGAGGGATGTTATTGAAACTTCCTTAAGCTAACTACTATGCTTGCTGACATGGGCACTGAGTTGTAATAGTAGTTTTGATGGCGGTAACGTTGCTTTATTTCTAAGGCAAAGAAAACTAGTGGGAAATCTTCCCATCACTCTAAGGCAAAGCAATGACCTCTATTAAACAAGCTATTGTTAAGTGCCTACTATGTGCCTTAGTAGACTAGCTAGCCACTGGGGATACAAAGGCAAAAATGAAACAATCCTGCCCCTTCAGGAGATATATGTATATAAATGAATATATACAGAAAAGACACAAGAAAAATACAAGGTAAATTTATTGGGAGAGGATATCAACTAGCTATGTGGCTCAATGGATAAAGCACTGGGCCTGGAGTCAGGAAGACCTGAGTTGAAAACTAGTCTGAGACACTTATTAACTTTGTGACTCTGGGCATGTCACTTGACCTCTCAGCCTCCCTAAGAAGGGAAAAGAAATCAAGGGACTATAAGAATTTGTGAAGGTGAGGAAGGAATGCATTTTTGGCATGGAGGATGGACGGTGGAAACGCTAGACAGTAATTCTCATAATGCTGGGCAACTCTGTGGTGAAGTACATAGAGCACTGGGCTTGGAACCAAGAAGATTCATTTTCATGAGTTCCAGATCCAGAAAAAGGGAAGCCAGTCACTAGGCTAAACCCTGTGGATACAAATAGAAAAAGTAAAACAATACAAATAAATATGGAACGTGGAGATGCCAAGGGGCCATCTATTTTATAGTCTTGCTTTCAAATAGGTTCGTCCCTAAATGAACTCACAAATGAGAAGCATTCCTATTTTTAAGTACTTCCAGATTAGAAGATTTGACTTTCCAATGTTAAGCAACCCCTAGGAGATCAAATTTTATTCTACCCATGGCTTTTTCAGTCACTCTGGACTAATTACCTATCCTCCCTTCAACCTGGTTTCTGCCATCTGTGTTATTATGCCAAGCTACACCTGCTAAGCCTAACATTAGAATGAATAAACAGATCATGATGAAGAATCATTTGTGGTATTAATTGCTTCACAAAGGAAATAGCAAAGATCGCCCTCCCCACTTTGCTAGCTTTCAGGAGTTCACATGGTGAAAATAAATTAAAGTCCCCATTTGCATGAATGTTTAAAGACATACACATACACACAAAATATAGTTATCAAATATACATGTGTATATTTGATATATATTATATAGTTACCAAAGCTCTAAGTTAACAAGTGTTAAATTATCTAAAACTAGAAGCTACTAGATGTGCTAAGAACTAACATGAGTGCCTTCCCTTCCCAACCACAATGTCAGAACATCACATTTGACTGGCAACTTTTTACACTTCCCTAGCCTTTCCTCCACCCCTCACCCCCTAATCTAAAATAAAACTAAAAACATTAGAGTTGAATAACAGTTGAAAAACAGAAGTATTGGAGAACCTTGGATGAGGAGGACATGGGTTAAAGTGAGAAAAGTCTGAAGAATGGGAATGCTTCTGGTGAGAGTAGAGTCTAGTGGGGTCAAGCAGGGTGGGGTGGGGATGTAGCCCTTGAGAAATGAAGTGGTGGGTTGCTGTTGTTGTCGTTGTTTTAAGTTTGTCTCCTTGAGGCTTTCTTTTAATCAGATAAAGAAATCCCTTTTATGCTGTGTGACCCTGGGTAAGTCACTTAACCCCACTGCCTAAACCAAAAATAAATAAGCAAATAAATAAATAAATAAATGAATGAATGAATGAATGAATGAATGAATGAATGAATAAAAATAACAATAAAGAAATCCCTTTTATGGCAAAGTAAAAATAAAAACTGAAGTCATGTTAATGAACATCATTAAACTTCTTCTCCCCACCTAGGTTTGTTTTCAAAATAGAAGAGCTAAAATTTGTTTTTTTAAAAGTGTTGATTTGGGGCAGCTAGGTGGTGCAGTGGATAGAGCACCGGCCCTGAAGTCAGGAGGACCTGAGTCCAAATCTGGACTCAGACCAATCACTTGACATTTCCTAGCTGTGTGACCTTGGGCAAGTCACTTAACCCCAATTGCCTAAAAGCAAAAAATAAAAATAAAAATAAAAAAATAAAAGTGTTGATTTGATGATGCTGTTCATGCTGCTTTGCCAGCCTATTTTATGAACTTTAATTGCTTAGGCATGAAAAATGCTAGTCATGGCTCTGCCCTGCCTTAAGTGTCAAGTCATTATAGGCTTGGCATGGTGCCTACCTGTTCCCTGTATATGTGTAGAATAGTGTGTTCATTTCTTTCTTTGATAGGCTGTTTGGCTGTAGTTATCGCAGCTTGTGTGGTGAACTTTCACAGAGCCCTCCCACTTCTTGTCTTCACTGTTGCTGCCATATTCTTTGTCATTTGGGACTACTTGATAGCCAAATATGAAAGTCAGATTGCTAAGTTCTTGTCTCCTGGTGGCAGATTCCTGAACGAACATTGGTTCTGGTTGAAGTGGTAAGTATGGAACATCTTTCTATTGTTCAGGAGTGAGATTTCAGTGTAAAGTCACACATGTAGTTAATGTCTGAATCAGGAATCAGGATTAGTGCTCAGGTTTTCCCAAGTCTCTTTTGTTGGGGGATGGGGGTAGGAGGTGGGGATTTATGCTAGGAATTTCCTCCAGGGATGGAACCACAAATCCAGACCCAAAAGGTGATTAGATTCTAGAAGAAGTATCTCAAGGGAAATTGTGGAAATCGTACCATTTGGAGAGTTTCAAGTATGGATTGGCAAGCTATCTGTCCTGTCTTCTACACAAACCTACTTAGAGGGGGAAAACTGGACAGCTAAGCTCTTGGGATCTTTTCCAAATCCCTGATTCTGTAAAAACAAAACATTGGTGTTACCCATTCCATACAGGTGACACACAGGAAAGTCAGTGATTGGGTGTTTCCTTTTCTAATCCTTCAGATTAAGAAAGGGCATATGATATGGGAGGAAACTCCCTGAGTGATTTGCTCATGTAAATACACCCATGGAGGTGGTGTTTGTCTATAACAAATTCCTCCACCTGAGGGTGCTAATACTGTTAGCATTAATTAAGTGTTTGGACAAGTTACCAGCCTGTCATTCCTCGGGGCAAAATGAAAAATTCTTCAAAAGTTTGGCTGTCATTTGAAAATATATCAAGTCATCTCAACCCTCTTTCCTTTCCCTTAGGCTGATATGGATCTTGCTGATTACAGGAGTCATTTGCTGGCTAATTTTTGACACAGCCAAGCAGGGAACCCAGTCTTTGGTGTCCTTTGGTGGGCTTGTGTTCTATGTTCTCCTGATGCTAATATTTTCTAAGTACCCAACTAGGGTAAGTACTAAGGAAATATTTGCATTCATTTTAATCTCTTGTCTACATTTCAGGCACTTGGCCTTTATGGCATTACATATAAAGTACGTATTGGGTGCTTTAAAAAAAAGTTTTATTTATTTTCTTACAGCACTATCATTTCTTTTCTTTTCTTTTTTTTCCTTTTTTTTTTTTTTGGTGAGGCAATTGGGGTTGTGACTTGCCCAGGGTCACGCAGCTAGTAAGTGTTATGTGTCTGAGGCTGGGTTTCAACTCAGGTCCTCCTGACTCCAGGGCCAGTGCTCTATCCACTGCGCCACCTAGCTCCCCACCACCATCATTTCTTAATGACTCTTCTTTCACTTCTCTTTCCCCCACAGAACCCTCCCTTTTAACAAAGGAGAATGGCTAAGTGAAAGAAATCATGGTCATGGTTTCTATATTGGGAAGAGTAAGAGGATTTCTCTAACAGGGAAGAGAATGAATCCCCAGAGCATATACTGTCACATAATCACAAACACAAGGGATTTTCAATCCAAAGGAAACAAAAGCTTTGCAGTGATCCAAATTCTTCCATGTAGTCCTTGACTATCACAAACATTGTCTGAACTGCCAATCAGTACTATTCCCTTAGTTCTATATTTTGGAGCTAATCAAGTCTTTGGATAGTGAAATAGGAATGAATCATCAAGGCTGAACTTCAATCACATTATTATTCTCAGCTTGTTACAGTAGAGAAAACAGTCCTGGACTTGGGAACTTCAAGTTCCAACACTACTATTTACTGCTTATGTGAGCTTGAGCAAGTCACTTAACCTTCATAGGCCTCAGTTTCCTCGTCTGAAAAATGAGGGGGTTGGATGAAATGCTCTTCCAGCTCTAAATATAGGATCTTATGGAAGTTGGCAAATGAAAACAAAACTCTGCCACAGAGAATGAAGGCTATATGGTATCAGACTGCTTCCAGAGTGAAGCACTCATGATGGAGCTGACATGTGAGATATGATAAAGCCAAGCCACAGCTCCCCTTTATTAATTATTTTCCCACTTTTTCACTTGTTGGCACTTGGACTTCCCATATTTTATTGCTCACTTATGCTACCTGACCAGTTATTTCCAGTGATATATGTCTTTGATGTCCTATATTCCACTTTTGATGTAACTCATCTTGGTTGATATAGTGCATCCTACTTATCACGCACCATGCATCTTTTCATTGCCCTTTGGATCATCTGTACTTCTGAGTCTACTAAGATCATGATATTCCTTGATTCCAGCCATAAGGCATAAAAGGGAAAATATTGGTATTAAAGAGATGAACTTTGGCAGAAGAGAGGAGCTTGAGATCCCTGCAAACACTGTGCAGTCTCCAAGATGCTATCTAACCTAATCTCTTCCTCCAGTTCAGTTCGTTGCCCATCGGCAACATGCAGTCAAGATTTGAGCATTTATGAATTAACTTACTGGTTGCCCCTCCAACTTCATGTCATAATGTGGGCATTAGGCATTCTTCATTGTATTTGCTTTCCTCATTTACTTTAATTTTGCTGGATGGCTGATCTCTTGAGTGAACAATGAGGAAGTCGAGTAGTGTTATGAACCCCAAGGCGATCAATACAATCTCTTCCGTACACAGGAATATCTTGGCAATCTCAGGCATCTAGAGAATGTATTTCTTTTCACTATGACCTTGACTAACACCAAATAAAACAAGCATTTCCATATATGAAGTAGAACAAAGAGAATTGTACTGCGTCTCTAATATGTATGGCTTGCTTTTCCTTATAACTATGTAATACATTTAATTTGGGATTTTCACAGAACATTTTTCTTACTGAGATCACCTTTTGGGGGAGCATATATTTCTCTATTTTCTGCTTGCCTTGAGGTTGTTAAACCAACTTATCTCTATGGTTGTATTTTCATTGAATCTTACATGTTCTCATGTTGTAGGAGAGCCCGTAAGATGGTATTTTACTATGTAGGTCAAAAGCTTTTGGGGGTGGGGGGCATGGAAATAATCAACAAATCACTCAACCATAAAATATTCTCTACATGTTTCCTCAGTTTTGTGACTATTAAAAATGCCCTGCTGTGGAAAATCAGCTGCAAAATACTACCTGTTTCCTTTTCATATTTTCAAGGATTTCCTCAATGCATGCATAGACTCTTCTTATCAAGATCTCATAGAAAGGAAAAAGTAATTATTGATCTTTTTGGCCATCATGCCATCCATGTTCTTTTTCTTTTTTGGTATCTTCTCCTCTTTGGGAGCTGTTGTAATTGTGTGCAGTATTTTCTTATCTTTATCCTTTCTTCTAACTTGTTGGCTAAGTTTTGACTTTTGCTCTAACTACTCTGATCTGATTTCATTGGCTTTTAAATGACTCCTATATTTGTGACCAGTCATTTCCTATCTGTTAAGCTCTAGTCAGTTTCATTTTTATGATATCAAACTTTCTTCTTTAAAGAAAGCATTCATGTCACATAGTTATATGGCTTCTGAGTAAGAAAAGTGAAATAATAAAGGAAAATAAATCTTGGGCTCTTTTTCATTTCTTAATATAATGAACTATGTTTTCCAACATTTTCTATTTTTCGGAATTCATTCTTTTCACCCTTCTGTTCCAGAGATCCATCCTATATAACACAGAACCCAGTTTAATTCCTAAGATTTCTCTACTTCTTCATCCTTTATCATGTTGGTACATTTGCTGCAATTATCTTTATGGCCTTGTTGCTTATCCTCCCCATGAGTGCTTCAAGGCAAAATGACCAAGGTCTCTCGAAATGAAGTTTCCCGTTGCTTTTGGGCTTCAGATGTAGCCTCCGCCACCACCTGCCACTTTTAAAAAGACAGGGTCACCTTACAATGAGTCACTGAAGTAAAATGTTTCTCTTCATTTCTAATTGTCTCAGTGTTCCAAATGTTCCATTACTGGCTTTCTTTGCCCATCCTTGGATTCATTTGCTGTTTCTCCTGATATGTATACACCTTTCTGAAATAGTTCCTCTCTGTTCCATCCTAGTTTTTAAAGGGTCTCCCACATATTCAAACATATAGCAGGGAGAGAAACACACATGTGCTCCATACATTGGTCGTGTATTATTGCCTTTCCATTTTCAAGACAGGAGAAATGGCCATGCTTATATGACAATTAAAAATGAGCAGGAAGTCAGGTTCATTCTCAGTGAACTGATGGGGATTTTCATGACATGTCATTGGTGTGGAAAAGTGGAATGGTATAGTAGGTAAAGAGTTAACTTTGGAATCAGGACGACTTAAGTTTAAGTCCCACTTTTGACATATACTACCTGTATGACCCTGAACAAGTTTTATAAACTCTCAGTAGGCCATGCCACTAAGCAGTAAAACAGCTGATGTAAATTAGTAGAGGGCATTTCCTCCTCAGGAATTTCCTAAACCAATGCAATCACAGATTCAAAAGTACTGAACGATGTATTTTTATCTTTCATTCTAAGTTACTAAATCAAATTTTGATTTTTGAGGTGAAAATTTCATGATGGCCCTTGAATAATCATTTTTGTTCTTGTTCTTTCTTTTTTTCAGTCACATCTGACTCTTCACGACCTCATTTGGGGTCTTCTTGGCAAAAACTGAAGTGATTTTTCCAGCTCATTTTGCAGATGAGGAACTGAGGCAAACAGTGTTAAGTGACTTGCCCAGGGTCACACAGCTAGCCAGATTTGACCTCACTATGAGTCTTCCTAACTGTAGGCCCTGCACTCTATCCACTGTGCCATCTGACTGTCCCCAGAGTAAACACATCTGTTAGTAATACAAAACCAAGACTGGTAATCACTTGTTGGTGCCAAAGTTAGACATGGTCTTGGTAAGTTTATTACTTCTTGGGATTGCAGTCTTGAAATTTAGGGAATCTGGGACAATTTGGTAAACCAAAAACTAATGGCTTTATTTAGGAAAGTTCTCCAAAGGGTAAATCATAAAGAACCACCCCAAGTCAGGTTCTGCCAGGGTCGTTACATTCTGTATCTTCCTTGACAATTATATTTTCTGGCTCTATCAAACATGACAGCTGAAAGTCAGCCCCATGCCAGTTTGAGAATGCAAGGTGTCATCTTGAACCCCTTATTATAGCATATCTATCCTAATAAGACGAACGTTTCTGGTTCTTTTATACATAGGTGTTCTGGAGACCTGTCTTTTGGGGAATTGGATTACAGTTTATTCTTGGTCTTTTCATTCTAAGAACTACACCTGGATTCCAGGCATTCAATTGGTTGGGGAATCAAGTAAAGGTAAGGTCGGATTCAATGCAGGTCATGTTTAACTATCAGGCCTAAGGGTTTTTTCCCCTAATTCAACAAGCATCTTTTTCAGTGATTGATTTTTAAAGCAAATTTTATTGCTATCTTTACTCTAGATTTTCTTGGAGTATACAGACTCAGGAGCCATATTTGTCTTTGGTGAGAAGTATGCAGACCATTTCTTTGCTTTTAGGGTAAGAACCACCACGTTTTCCATGTAACTCAATCCAGAGCTATAAATTTATTTTTATTTGTTTTAATTGATAGAAGGGCACTAAACCCAACTAAGTCTTTCTTCGGCAACCAAGCAATGGCTATAGAAATACCTTTTCATTGATAATGTATATGTATATATTTATTTGTTATCTTTTTTAAAAATTTCTTTTTCCAATTCATTGATCTCTTCTTTCTCTATTTTATTCATGTAAGCATTTAGAGATATAAAACTTCCCCTAAGAACTGCTTTCACTGCATCCCATAAGTTTTGGTATGTTGTCTCATTATCATCATTCTCTTGAATGAAGTTATTGATTGTTTCTATGATTTGTTGTTTGAGCCACTCATTCTTTAGGATTAGATTAGTTTCCAATTAATTTTTAGTCTATCTTTCCATGGTCCTTTATTAAATATAATTTTTATTGCATCATGATCTGACAAGGATGCATTTAATATTTCTGCCTTTCTGCATTGGATTGTGAGATTTTTATGCCCTAGTACATGGTCAATTTTTGTGTATGTGCCATTTACTGCTGAGAAAAAAGTATATTGCTTTCTATCCCCATTCAATTTTCTCCAGAGGTCTACCATAACTAACTTTTCTAAAATTCTATTCATCTCCTTAATTTCTTTCTTCTTTATTTTTGGGTTAGATTGTTTCAAATGTGTTTCCTGTAAACAACATATTGTAGGATTATAGTTTTTAATCCATTCTGCTATCTGCTAATGTTTTATGGGAGAGTTCATCCCATTCACATTTACAGTTATGATTACTATCTGTCTTTCTCTCCATCCTATTTCCCCCCATTTATGCTTTTCTTTCTTCTTTCTCCCTTTCTCTCCTCCCTAGTGTTTTGCCATTGACCACTGCCTCCCTCAGTCCCACCTCCCATCTGTTAGCCCCCTCCCTTTTCTTTCCCCTTTTCCCTCCTACTGCTTTTAGGGCAGGTTAGATTTCTTTACCTAACTGATTATGTTATTCCCTCTTTGAGCCAAATCCAATGAGAGTAAGGTTCAAACAGTGCTCATCTCCCTCCCTTCTTTTCCTCTATCATTACATGTATATATTTAAAACCTGTTTTGGGCGATCAGCCAAGTAAATTATTTTTATCTAATTGGATTTCTCTTATATTTTGTCTGCAAAGAGACACTGAGGGTAGGATAACTCCATCTTTTTTTTTTAAATTTGGAAAATACTAATACTCCTTCATGAACAGCTGCCTCATAAAGAACAATTTTAAACAATGTCATAATTCCATGATTGAGATAAATAGCCCCTATAAATTTCTACTCTTATAGTTTGCCATTTCTTAACCAAAAGGGTATATGGTTTAACTTCAGTCCTCTGGAACCAATATTAACCTCTGTGTTTGACTGGATTATGTTGTCTTCCTTCCTGCTATTGTACATATTGTATATACTATTCTTGTATTGTAATGTCATTGTGTGTATTGTTCTTTGTTCTTCTCTCCTGTCTCTGCCTCACATCATTCAAGTTATTCCTCTGCATAGGTCTCATTCACCCTTACTTATGACATAATAATATGCAATTACTTCCAATTACTTGGGGGGAAGTGTGCAATAATGCCTCAATTGTTTTACTTTGTTCTTGTTGTATTATGAATGACTTGAAACATGTTTATATGATTATTGGTGCATTGTTTGTGATTTCATCAGTTTAAGGCACACCTGGGAAGGAACTTTATCTCCCAATGTAAATTGGCATCTTCTCTGTATCTATTAGAAAGTGCCAGGGACCCTGAAAGGTTTAGTGGCCTGTGCAGTTACACATTGTCACTGCCAGGCTGGAATGTTTTTCAAAGAACCATTTCTCAAATATTTTTCTTCTCAAGCCTCTTCTGAAAACCCAGGAAGATACTTACGCAAGTATGTCTCTCTCTTTTATCCCATTTTTTTTTCCTTTTCCTGTGAGGCCTCTCCTGGAGGGAGAGAGAAATTGTTTATTTCTGTTGAACACATATGACATAACAGGTTCCCCTGCATCATAGAACAAAAAGGACAATAGTCTACCCTACCCCATCATAAAGGGAAAATACCCTTAAGTTAGCCAGATTCAGTCTGTTTTCCTTTCTCTTCATGAAAGTTCCCTGTTCTAATAATAGTTCCCTGATCTAAAAGATCAGTTACTGCTAGCCTCAAATGACAGTCAGTCATGTAGGGTTAAAAACTGTCCAACCTATAATATAAGAAAATGAGGCAGAGCTCTGAGCCAAAGGTGTTTTATTAAAGGGTCCCTCTGATGAAGTGGACCTCAGATCTTCCTCACAATCTGAGATGCTCCCTTCCTCTATGGCCTTATTTTTATAAGGTTTGATACCTAACACTCTGGAAAGGCTACACAAAATACAGAATTGCATTGGTTGGTAGACTTTGTTTTGATGATCAAAAATGATATATCAGCCCAAAACTGGGGAGTCTCAGTTTGGGTTAGGCATCTCCATTGACTAGGTGGTCATAAGATGCTCACCTGCTCACATAGGACAAGATAGAGTGGTCCAGAGATACAAAAAGAAGTTGGAGGATATTCCATGTAATTGGGCCACCTCTACCATGCTGGGATTGGTCCTCATGACAAGGAAAAACAAGGGCCTCTAGTTAGCTTCTTATGATTAAGCAAGTGAACTTACAATCTGCAGTTCATAACTTTGGGGCCTCATATATAGAACTTATAATCACTAGCCCTGTGGAATCATGTCAAACTGATCAATACTGATTGGAATAGAGTAGGGGTGTAAATGAATCAATTCTCAGTCATACAGACTAAAAGAACTCTGACTGGAAGACCACTGTTCTAGACACCACCCAGACCTTATGAGCATGAACAGTAAGAAAAAGAAGCATTTAGATTTAGATGACCTGTTCAAATTCTACTCATCTAACTGCCTGTGTGACTTTTGGACAAGTTATTTTACTCACTGGGTTTCCTTATTTGAAAAATGAAACAGTAGGACTAAATGACCCCTAATTCCTACCAGCTCTGAATCTATGATCATACGGACCCTTCGTTTCCCAATCCTTCTGCCGGTACCCCTCCCGCCAGGACTGTTGTGAGGATACAATGTGATATTTATAAAGGACTATATAAATGCTAGCTATCATTATAACCTCCTAACCTGGTAAAGGTACCTAAACTCTAGCATTTTGATATTAATGAAGACCAACTCTTAAAAAATTTGCCTTGTCTGATATTAATGGTCAGGCTGTATGTGGGAAAACTAGAAGTACTGATCCTGCTGGGTTATAGTAACTAGATACACTACATTTTTTTTCATAATTCAGAGGTCCATATGATTGGGTATTTGAGAAGTCCAAAATGAGACACGAATCCTTAGTAACTGGACAAATTAAATTGTTTCATCACTGCCATCCTCATAAGACCTGCAGGTCAGCAAAAGCCACATTCCTATCAATTCAACAAACTAGCAAAAAGCTGAGTAAACCCAAAGATGCTAATGGAAAGTTTAATCAACCTGAAACTCAATTAAAATCTCTTGTACATGTCAAACTTTCTGCTTTTGACAATAAAGAATAGCTAATACTCTGATGAGATGACTGGTCTGGCTTTCCTGTTGACAAGCCAGATGAGTGATTTTCATATAATAGATGCCAAGAAGTGTTAAGTGCCTCATGCACTCTTTATACTGGGGTAGGGTGCTGTTTCTGTAGGACTGTAGAGTTTTGAGGTGGAAAAGACTTTAGAAGTCATTGAGTACAATTCCCCTCACTTTACAAATGAGGAAACAAAGACCCAGAGGCGGTCCAAGTTGACACTGAGAGTAAGTAGTAAAGCCCAAATGCAAAACCAGATCGTTTGACTCCAAATCTATTACTCTTTCTATGACCCCATACTGCCTCACCAGGAAAGATCGTTTCTCATATTTGTCAGAGCCCACCAATGGGCAGCTAAAAACTGAACAAAAGGAGACTGTGGTCTGCAAATAAATTAAGCACTGAAATTTCTTCATGAAGGACGGGTGCTATTTTTATACTCGTACCATAGGGGACTCCACTGCTAGATGGGCACAATGGGTAGAATGCCAGGCCTACAGTCAGGAAGACCTGAGTTTGAATCGAGACTCAGTCACTTACTAGCTGTAGAATCCTGGTCAGGTCACTTAATCCTGCTTGCCAAAGTTTCCTCACCCGCAAATTGAGCTGGAAAAAGAAATGGCAAAGACATGGCTTTCCCAAGTGGAAAATGACTAAAAGTGACTGAAACAACAACGCATGATATCAATTATACACGTGAGGTCATGAGATACCTATTTCCATATTAGCCATGTTGCAAAAGAAAAAAAAAAAGGCAAGATAAACAAAGTAAGTGAAAAAAGTATGCTTCACACTGAACAGCTAGATAGATGCTCATCCAGTATTATCTGAGCTTTGTGACCTATGTGATTTTCAGTTTCATCATCGGTGAAATACAAGAGGTCATGTTTATACTAGTAGCCTCCTAACATTATTAGGAGGAAAATGTGCTTTACAGTTTATGGTGTTATATGAATGAGAATTAGTGCTTAAATGAGCCCTTGGACTAGATGCTATCTAGGGATCCTTCTAGATCCAACACCATTGACCAAGACTAATTACTGGAAATAATGAACCCCCTGAAGGGGTTGCATGTATCCAAATCCACCCTATTTGAAAGCCATAATTATGTAAAACATCTTAAATGGTTCCAAAATATCCAATGCAAATTTAAATAATGCCACCACTTCAGAAGATTGATTATTTGCACTAATTAGGACCTAGATTTTAAAGTGGTAGTTTGTTACTGATCACCTACAAGCATTTGGCTCTCTATATTATTTCCATTTTAAAGATGAGGAAACTGAGATCAGATTGGGAAAAAAAAATGTTATTCAAATCTTTAAAACAGATCAGAGAGGTCAGGTGACTTGTCCATCATAAGCAGAACCCAGGTTCTTCCTGACTCCAAATCCCACATTCTACTGACACCACACTGATATACCAGTCTCAAAGTTCTATACATAACTGCAAAGAAACTGCAGAGAAAAGGAATACTGATTCTTAGAACACTGTGCTCACTTGAGGCTCTCAAATTTCACAGCCTCAGACAGTGCAATTCCCCCTTTCCAGGGAACATACAAAGGAAAGACAGAATCAACTTGACTAGGTAACAAAGTTTACAAATCAGACTCAGAGATGGGCATACTTTTTTTTCCCTTTTAGGCAATTGGGGTTAAGTGACTTGCCCAGGGTCACACAGCTAGTAAGTGTTGAGTGTTTGGTCTGAGGTCGGATTTGAACTCAGGTCCTCCTGACTTCAGGGCCACTGCTCTATCCACTGCCCCAAGATGGACATACTTAAACATATCGGGATTTGGCTAACCTTGGAACTCAAAGGTGAGTTCCAGGTTGGAGAAATTACTATGGACCACAAGAAGTTCCTATAAGTAATCTAGGGAGCAAGCCTGGCATGTAGATCAAAGTAGGAATCTTACTTGTACCTGATTCCAGTGTGGAGATTTAGGATACAAGTCTAGTTCAAGTTCAAAGTAGAATCCAGTATTGGAGAGGGAGGAAGGGATAGCTGTCTCCTGATTTGGCTTGCACCAAGCAACCTCACTCTCCAAGATAAGTTAACCTTGAGATACTATCAGGTAGACCTAGCTCTGCCACTTAAATAGCTCTGTGACCATGGACAAGTCATTTAACCTTACTGAGACTCAGTTCCCTTATCCTTACAGATGGGCATAAAAACAACTGTGGCACTTATATAGAGAAAGTGCTTTGCGACTTTGTAAAGCAGCATGTGAATTTCAACTATTACATATTGTACCAATCAAGGTAATGCTAAGAACTTCTACTTTGAGAGCCTTTTGTTTCACAAGATACTTTCCTTACAATGACCCTATGATTTAGTATTACAAGTATTACTCTCTTATCACAAAAGGAGTTATAAGTAATGGATCAGGGACCAGTCTTGAGAGCATAGGATCATAGATTTTGGAGCTAGCAAGGACTTCAGAGACCATCTATGCTAACTCCAATGTAGATAATAGAGATTAAGAAACTGAGACCTAGGGAAATAGCCACACAAATATTAAGCTCAAAGGCATGGTTTCAGCATTCTTTTCACTGTCTCCCAACTCACAGTCTCCCGTTGTTCTTGCCACACACTAGGCTGGCTGCCTTCCTGAAATGAGAAAAATCTCTGGGCAACATACATAAATTATGAGTACTAAAACTATTCAATCCTCAACATTTTTTATTGCTACAAGAAAATCTTTACCCACACCACAAATGATAAAGGCTATTTTCTTAAAAGAACTTTAAACACATATTATTTCATTTGGTCTCCTAACATCCAAGTATAATAACTGAGAAAGGCACTGCTGTCCCCATTTTATAGTTGGGAAAACTGAGGGAAAGGGGGCCAACCAACACAGCAAGTTAATGGAAAAGATAGGACTGGAGTCAAGATTTCACAAGTTTCATGTCCTATTCACTCAAATACAGTATGCCACTCTTTTCAAGATACCACCAGGATTTTCACCTGGCACTCTTTTCAATAGAAAAAGAAAAGGAGTTTGGGTTCTAGGACTACAGGCTATCTATCCTTCATCTTCAAGCACCTTAAAATTTGAGAAACTTCATTTCTTTTCTTACCTTACAAGAATAAAAATTTTTTAAAAAACACAAAAGGGTTATGGAGAATGTAAGAAGAAAGCTTCCTACTCGCTGCCGTGATGTTAATTTCTCAGTATACATACTCCCAGGCCATCAAACATCATTGCTAAAGCATTTTTCTTTGTTCCAGCAGCTTCCCTTCTCTGTCCTGCAGCACAGCTGTGCCTAAAACAATGAATGGCAAGGGGGAAAGGCTAGACAAGTATTTAGCCTAACCAGAAGAGATAGATGGGTTTGTTTGTTGTTTTTTGTTTTTCAAGAGAGAAGCAAACTGGCCACAGGCCAGATGGACTCAGATTGGGATGGTTATTTTTAAGTCAGAATGCTCGGACCTATTAATTCAGTGACCAGCTTTCATCAATAATCACCTCCCCTCCCCCCAGCCTCTTCACCTCAGAAACCTACCCTCCACTGGGAGAGAATGTCAATATTGAACAATGATTCAAAAGTGGCAGTTTGGGGTTTTCACATTTCCTTCATTATTAACATTTATTAGGGTAATCGTGTGTCATTTTAAAAGCCTATTTCCTTTATAAGTTTAGAGTTTGACACCAAATGAATCTCCTTGCCTTCTTTTCATCTGATTTTACCTTTTTACACAAAATAATAAGGCCCTCACCCTAAATGTTGGATGTTCCTGGTCAAAGACCTGAAAGGAATTAACTTCAGAATAGAGCAATTAGGATAGTTAATTACCTATTTTCTAGCTTATAAAGGATGTTTCCTCCACTGGTGGTCTACACACATATTGTTGGGAGGGTGGGGAAGGATTTTGTTTAGGTTACTGCTCATGTTGAAGTTGTATCCCAGTTGAAATTTAAAGATAAGCACTCAATGGAACTGTCCATGGTTTCGAAAATATTCCACTTGCCCATTAAAATCAGGGTTATAAAAGGCATAGAGAGTGCGAATTCTGAATAATGGAAAAAATGCCTTTTAATAATATATGTTATTAATATACGTTTTTCTCAATTATAGGGAGTGCTTCCAAATATGCTGTCCTGGATTTGGTCATTTGTGCATCTGTTACTTTCCCTGACCATTCATTCAGCTGGGAGAATGGCATGTGTTAATAGCTTCATGGGAGTTACACAAACTAGAAATGATGACCTGAAGAAATACACTTGGAAAAATTTCATCAGGCATCCCCTTGTCAAAGTTTATTCTCATTCATGTGGAGCTCAGCTAGTTGCAAAAATAATGTAAAGTTTTGCAGAATGGTGTACTGGTGAAATTCCATTGTAGCAAAGGGTTCTGTATGTAACAAAGCAAAGCAGATTCAATGGCTTAACCTATGGTGAAGAGGAATAGTTTGTCTGACCTGGTTATATTAAATTCCCCAAAGCATCTTTAGTATAGCAGAAAGAGCATTGGCTCTGAAAATAAAAAAAAACGATCTGGGTTAAAATCTCACTTCTGTTGGCTTACTAGCTGTGTGACCTTAGGCAGTCACTTAACCTCTCTGGGTCTTAGTTTCCTCATCTGTAAAAAAAAAAGGGGGGGGGACTTAGATAATGGTCTCTGATGCTCCTTCCAGCCCTATTTCTTTAATCCCTATAAGGAGAATTGGGGGAGGGGAAGTACATTTGGTGTGGAACAGGGAGGTAAGGTAATAGTCCTATATTCTGTCCTGATCAAATCATGTCTGTGATATTCTAAGGAAGACATTGGCAAGCCAGAAAATATTTTGAAGAGGAGATGGAGAGTGGGTCAGTGGAAAGAGTGTTGACTTTGTACTCAGGGGACTCAAATTGAAATCCCTGCTCTGGCACTTACAATATCTGTGCCATTCTGCAAGTCACTTATTCTTTTTGGGCCTCAGTTTACTTATGTGTAAAATGAGGTTGGATGGATCCATTATCCATCCTTTCCAACCTAATCTGTGATCCTACATCTCTAAAATCTGTACTACTGCATAATTCCTATACCAATGAAATAAAACAAAAAAACCCCAGGCATCTAAAACTGGGGTTCTTAACCATTTCACAGTCAAGGACCTCTTTGATAATCTGATGAAGCCTATGGGCCCCTTCTCAAAAAAATTTTAGACACAGAAAACACCCAGAATTTCAAAGGAAACAAAGTATATGCAAATGTATTTTCCAACTATTTTAAAAAAACATTCACAGACACTCTGAAACTGAGGGGTTCATGGCCTCAGGTGAAGAACCCCTGCTCCAAAGCATCTTTAAGAAAGTTATTTCCCAATGAAGAAGCAAATTAACTCAATCATATTTTTGCTTTTGTTTTTGCACTAGGTCTTGCCAATAGTGGTCTTCTTCAGCACAGTGATCTCCATGCTCTATTACCTTGGATTCATGCAGTGGCTCATTAGAAAGGTAAATGCAGGTTCTGTCAAGTGTCAGCATGGCCGCTTCAAACTGCGTCTTTCAGGGGAAACACTTGAAGTGCTGTCTTGCCAAGTTTTTGTATTTCTAAAGTACCATAGTACTGAGGTGAAAGGAGACTTGGGAGATAGGACTTAAGTGCCAATACATGTATGTAGATGTTTAGAAATTAAAATGTAGAATGTGGCTTTAACAACCAAGGGTGTCAAGTATTTCTATGAAATAAAGAAGAGGTATTACTGCTAAACTGCCTCTGTTTGTCCAGAATCCTCCCCCAGGAATTCTTTCCTGGATGAGTTACTGTTGATTAACTTTGACTTGTAGCAAGTGCAAGTGTTCACTGGTCCAACTCAAACCAACTCACCCTGGAAGCCACAACAATGAGCAGAATTCCATGGATCAGGAACAACCCCAACCATTTCCCACATGATCCAGGAAGTTCCCTCGGTTCTACTCTCACAAAAAGGAGCCTGATGACCTTAGATGACCCATTGCCAGGCTTCTGGTCATTGTTAGATTTCTAACTTGTAGCAAACAGTTGGCTGGGTTAAAGCCATTTAAAGAAGCAGGCCATCCATGAAATGAAAACAGTGAGTATGGAGAAAACAATGAGTATGGAAGCCCTTTCCTTCTGGATCAAACATGCAGAAGTCAGCAATTCTCAGGATAATTCTATCTTTAAGTAGCTTAAGCATTTTCTTCTACAATCTCCTTTGCTGGATTTTTTTTTTTTGATCAGCAAATACTTCCTTTAGAGATTTCTTTCTCCCCTCCCTTATAGGTTGGATGGACAATGCAGGTTATCCTGGGATCATCTCCTATCGAATCTGTAGTTGCTGCTGGCAACATATTTGTGGGACAGGTAAGTTACAGCTCCAAAAATGGGCATCATCTTTCTGAGAGGTTTAATTTTTTGAGGATGTCAGAAATTTTAAAAAATGTATACACACCCATTTTTGTGTATATTTGTTTAAACTTTCAGAAGGATTTCAGAAAATCAACGTACTTGGCATCTACAAAGTCTAGTTTCCTTACAATGAGTCATACCACTTTTAGCAGCTTAAACACTTTTAGCTAAGAGTAGGATTAGGAATTAATGCATATTGGAATCTGTGGACTCCTAGATTGTCTTGTTATCATTAGTTAAAATGTGTTTAGGAACATAGAATTTTAGATTAGAAAGGAACCTTAGAGTTCACCTAGTCCTTGCTAGTTTTTTCTGCAAATGAATGTTGTTTATCATCTTTATAATCTGGAATTACTGAGAGGGAAGATGAATTATTCAGGGTCACACAGACAATATTTTTCAAAGGCAACATTTGACACCTCTTCCTCCTAATTCCCATGTCAGCTCCCTATGTACTCTGCCATACTGCCTCTTTGCACACAGTGCTGTTTTTTCAGTTGTTTCAGTCATGTCTAACTTCTTGGCAAAGATACCGGAGTGATTTGCCATTTCCTTCTCCAGCTCATTTTACAGATGAGCAAACTAAGGCAAACAGGGTTAAGTGACTTGCCTAAGGTCACACAGCTAGTAAGATTTTAATTCAGCTCTTCCTGACTTTAGGTCCCGTGCTCTACCCACTGCACATAGTAGGCCCTTAATAAATGATTGTTGAATGAATGATCTTGCCCTAAAAGTTTGTATCACTGTGATATAAACCAGAACTTCCAAAAACCTCATGATGTTTAAGCATCCTTAAAATATTTAGTACAAACTGCTTCCATTCAGTAGAACATTTAAAAAGAGTTAACTTGAATCTGTCATCTGCATGGCAGGTATAACAAAGGTGTGTCTTTGTTCCATCTTTTCTTCTCAGAATTGAGACTTTCTTTAGTGACAGTTGCTCAGTTAAAAGATTTGAATAAGGAAGCCTTGCCCATTGTCTCAACTTCATATACTACCCCACCTCCACCATCCATTGTCTCTTTTTCCAACCCTAATTGTTGCTGGGATTGGCTCTCACAAATCTTCAGGAAAAAAAAAAAACATATATGTATATATGTGTACACACACACACACACACACACACACACACACATATTTTCAGGTCTAATGCCTTCCTTCTTGTCTAGATGGCATAGGTGTAGTAACTTGAACCAGCAAGTTTATGATTTGGCTATGTTTAACAGTTCAATCTCCTTACAATACTTAAGCAGCTTTATATCCTGTTTCTCTGGATTACTTTCTAAAACCTATAATCTCTAGATGGATTAAAGGATTCATCGTCAGCAAATCCTTTTTCTTGTCATCAGTCTTTTCTATCATTCCTAAAGAAAAATGTTTAAGGGGAAAAAAAAAACAAGGTCCATTCAAATGAAAATGAGGGGAACATCCCAAAGTCAGCCAGTACCTTACAATTTCACATCTGGATTTATAAAGTGGGGGACTAAGAGCCAGGAAGAGTCTAAGAAGCCATTAATAGGTATAGGTGTCAATCAGAATCTTTGTAATGAGGGATAGAGCTTCACCATACTGTACCAAAAAGCAGAAACACTAAGAAAATTTAAAGGATTCTGGATAATCTAGCTTAGAAAATAGAAGGTAGGGGCAGAACTTGACCACCTTCAAATAATAAGTGACCATTATAGGAAGGATACTGAGTCACTATTCTCCATTTTCGATGGAATTAAGTTTAAATGATAGTAAAATGGAGTTTAATTAAACATAATTAAAAATATAAAGAATTTTTTTCTAAGTTTAGATAACTAAGCATTGAGACTAGCTGCTAACAAAGGCCGTGGAATTTCTACTCCAATAAAAGTGCTGTCTTGGAGCCAGGACTAGACAAATGGCCTCTTAGAACAATTCCCTAATCGATAAGTAGTCAAAGGTGAAAGGTGATGAGTGAATAGTTATTAGAAGAAAAAATGCAACTTACCAACAACCATTTGAAATGTTCCAAATGATTAAAAATAAGAGAAATGCAAAGAAAAAAACCTAAGGTTTCACCTTATCCAGCAAATTGACCAAGATAATAAAAAAACAGAACATGTCAATATCGGAGGGGCTTTGGGAAGAGAAGCATATTAATACACTGTTAGTGGAGTTGTGAATGGGTTTGATTATTTTGGGAAACAAAGCCACTAAATTGTTAATATTCTCTAATTCAGTGACCTGACTACTGGGTATGTAATCCCCCCCAAAAAAAAAATAGTTACGTAAAAACCAGTTAGTAGTAGCATCTTTATAGTGTTATCAGAAACAAAATGGTTACACATTGATGGGGGTGGTCATCATGAGTTATTGTGAATAAAAAAATGTAGCAGGTAAAGAAAGTGTGATATGTGACTATAGATAATAGAGACTAGACTTACTATTTCATTGGCATAAAGAATTCCCAGGTGAAGAAATTCTCTGCCAATGCAGTTTCTTGTTTGGGACTTGTAATCTTAGAGAGCTGTCTAGGTGCTAAAGGTGCCATAGTCACTATGTGTCAAAGGTAGAACTACAACTCTGAATTCAAGACCAGTGCTCTAACAAACTCAAATAGAAAGATTCCCATGGGCCATATATTGACTTAGAAAACCACAAATTAACATTATTTATGTTGTATTTTTATTTTGTTAAACATTTCCCATTTACATTGTAATATGGTTCTGAGGTACTCTGGAGCTTTGCTGGACCCTTCTCTTATTCTGCTCTCCCCCCAGTTGATACTTTTCGGCCACACCATGCTGCCTCTTTAATACTGTTGCAACATAAGAAACCATGTACATAAGGAATTTGGAGGGAAAAAATGGGAAGACTGACGCAAAATAAAGTGAGCTGAACCAAGAGATCAATATACACAATGATGATAATATTGTAATAAAAGTTAGCATTTACAGAATAATAGCTAGTAATTATATAGTGCATTAAGATTTGCAAAGAGCTTTACAAATATTATCTTGTTTTATCCTCACAACAGCCCTGGGAGGTTGTTGTTGTTGTTGTTCAGTTGTTTCAATCACGTCCAATTTTTTGTGACCACCGTTTGGAGTTCTTTTGGCAAAAATACTGGAGTGTTTTGCCATTTCCTTATCCAGCCCATTTTACAGATGAGGAAATGAGGCAAACAGGGGTTAAGTGACTCGCCCAGGATCATCCAACCAGTTAAGTGCCTAAGGCCAGATTTGAACTCAAGTATTCCTGATACCAGGCCCAGCATTCTATATCTGCCTGTGCAATATAAAGAAATGTGAAGAGCAATCCCAACTGTCAGTCAAGCTCTTAATTTCAATGCCCAATCTTTAATCTGGACAGGATATGATAAAACCACTTCTCTGTTTTTATATAGAAAAATATGGAACTCCAGGCATAGAATGTTGCATATGCAATCAGACACAGTTGCCTTGTTTGGTTTTGCTTAGCTATTTTGTTATTGTTATTGTTACAAAGGATGGTTCTTTGGGCAGAAGAGGTGTAGTATAACAGGAAATGGCTGTGATGCTGAATGAATAAGCAAACAAACAAATAAATAAAAGCATCTATAAAACTTAATAAATCCATCGAGCTAACTTGGAAAAATTAGCCTCTTGGTATCAGATACAGCCCCCAAATTCTAAGCTTCTATAATCTCAACTCAGGTTTGATTTGGCCAACAAGTAAGAAGACATTAATCCAGCTAGGTGGCACAGTGGATATAGACTGCTGAAACTGGAGTCAGGAAGACCTCAGTTCAAATGTGACCTCAGACACTTACTAGCTGTGTGACCCTGGGCAAGTCACTTAACCCTGTTGACCTTAGTTTCCTCATCTGTAAAGTGAGCTGGAGAGGGAAATGGCAAACCATTCCACTATCTTTGCCAAGAAAACCCCAAAAAGGGTCACCAAGAGACAGACATGACCGAAAAATGACTGAACAACCACAGTAAAAGGAGAAATTGTTCCCAGTGGTGCTCCTTAGATAAGAGTTACAAAAGCAGATTTCTCAGGTCACCTCTCTTTTTTTAACCTCATTCTAGTGAGAGTCTAGTCACATAAATTATGGAATAACAGAACTTTGAGCTCCTTCTTGTAAAGTATCTTAGGTCATTTTTCCCCCTTCTTTTTTAACTTTGGGTGTTAAATACATCTTTTGAATCTCTCATTTCTTTAGTGTAAATACTCCCTCTGTTAATCCATGTTACAACTCCATGCCTGAGTAGATGGTCATTCATGCATCATTGTGACCAAAAATGTAACAGGTTGTTTAGTTGGATACTTTCCTTCTGAGCATTTTTAAAAAATAATTCTTTTGTACAGAGATGACGACTCCTTTGTATTCTTGTAAATATGGGCCTTAGTTCTATCTCACTTTCTAATCTCCTCTTCAGCTGAAACATTCATTTAAGCTTATTTTGTGCTTATCAGGTTTCTCCACTCTTCTCTGAACACCCATATTTTTCATCAAAATTTTATCATCTTGCATCAGTTCTTTAACTGGTATTAAATCAGACAGTTATTGACTTCTGGCCGTCTTCTTGATGAGCAATTTCTCCAGGCAAGGCCAAGTTAATATCTAAGCTAGTCTTTAAATGACAGACACTATCTGTTGCCTATATTCAAAGGTTCTTTAGGTGTGTTAAACACTGTCAGAGTTTGATTCTTGGGTGTAGCTTTTGAGAACTTGGGGTCACTTGATACCATGATGAGGTTTCAGAGGACGACTTTAACAAAGGGCTATCAGGATAAATGTAATACACATAAACAACTTAGAACATGGTTGGGGGAGGCACCACAATATTTGTGGAAACACAAAGGACTGTTTTCCTGTTTTCAAACAAAGTCTTTATCTTTACGCAGAAGAATGATGTAGCACCACAGAGCCTATATCAGACACATCTGATGCTGCAACTGCTATTTTTCAATATTATTTTTTCTTCAGAAGTGTCAGAAAATTCCTTGTCCCAAGGGGATTTGTTCAGTCATGTCCACCTCTTTTTTATTTTTAGGCAATTGGGGTTAAGTGACTTGCCCAGGGTCACACAGCTAGTAAATATCTGAGGTCAGACTTGAACTCAAGCCTTCCAAGGGGCTTTGTTAAGAGGCCTATTGTGTGAGTCACTAGATCATGCATCATATCCAACTCATGTAACAGACTATGGGCACCCATCTTGTCCTGGAAAGAGAAAAAAGAGAATCACAGAATGTTAAAGGTGGTGCAATGGATAGAGTACCAGGCCTGGAGTCAGGAAGACTTATCTTCCTCAGTTCAAATCTGGCTTTAGACGCTTAACTGGCTGGATGAACCTGGGCAAGTCACTTAACCCTGTTTGCCTCAGTTTCCTCATCTGTAAAATGAGCTGGAGAAGGAAATGGCAAACCACTCCAGTATCTTTGCCATGTAAACCTCAAATGGGGTCACAAAGAGTCGGACAACTGAACAAGATTATAACAAATTGTAATCACCTAGGCCCAACTCCCAAACAAAACCAAGGAGACAGAATTCCACATGTGACATAGTGTTTGAGTTTTGGACTTGGAGTCAGGAAGTTGTTATTGTTTGGTTGTGGGTTTTCTTGGCAAGAATACTGGAGCAGTTTGTCATTTCCTTCTCTGGTGGATTAAGGCAAATAGAGATTAAGTGACTTACTCAGGGTCACACAGCTTGTGAGTGTCTGAGGCCAGTTTTGAATTCAGGAGCCGGGAAGACCTATGTTCAAATTCCACCTTTGAAGCTTATGTGAATGCATAAACAAGCTGCTTAATCTTTATGAAGCTCAATTTGCTCATCCCTAAAATGAGTAGATTTAATTGGATGCTGTATGAGGTCACTTCTCATTTTAACCCTGGAATTCTGTGAGCCAAAGTCCAAATGTTTGCCATGGCCTTTTGGAAATTGGATTTGCAGGAAAATGTATGTCACCCAAAAAAAAAAAAAAAAGACTTGGCCCTAAAACTGAGCTGATAACTGCTCCAGGCAGGTTAATTGTTCTTTTTTGGCAAGCCTTGCTAACCAATTAGAAAAGAGGGCTTAATAGTGCAAGCCCATACTTAATTCCCTAGGATCTGAAATTATCATGATTCTAGTAATAAAATCTCTCAGGATTAATTAGGAACCCACCTTGTGTTACTTACCACTTCCTGCAGAGTGAAAGGACTTGAAGGGCTGGTACCCTAAGCCTCTTTTTAGTCCACAAGATGTGGGTCAACACACTCAACCTGACAGGACAATTAGTAATAATGAAGAGAAAATTGTAAAATTGCACACATGCTTCCATGGTTTTCAATTGGGTAATTAATATGCAAAAAATGTAGTCTGCATTAATGGAGGGTCCAGAAGCTGTAATCTCTCTTCCCTACTGGTTTTTATGCCTCCTTTCCTACTAGGCATGGGTTTCAGTTCATTTTTTCTTTTATCAAACGTTTATTTATAACTTAATTTTTTTTTAAATCTTTTTTTCTCCCTTTATTTTCACAGCCCCATTTCCCCCCCACCCCCACCCCATCTGAGAGTGGGTGTGTGTTTGGCTAGCTTTGGAAGAAGTCCCTGACTCAAGGACTTTCTCCCTTAGAATACCATTTCTGGGCACCTTACATTTATTTCTGTTCATTTTCTTTTTCCTGTATTTTTTAGCTATCCAAGGGATTGTCAATATGGGGAGTAAGGAAGCTAATGGGGAGACTTTTTTCATAGGGCTTATGGGATTTATCTATCTATCATCTATCCATCTATTCATTTATTTGTATTCTAAATTTAAACATCAAATAAAATAAGCATTTCTGCATAGCTGAATGAATGAGCACACTAAACTGTAGATCTCTACTATGTATAGCTTGCTTTTTAAATATATAATAAATTTAAACTTTAGCTTTCAAAGCTATCCTGCTTGTCTGTGCTTCTTTCTGGCCTTCCTTCTGTCTTCTTCTTTGCATTTTTTAAAAAGATGCCTCAACAACCCCCTTTTCAAATTTCATTTTTGGTATTATAGTTTTATATCTTGAATCCTTTGACCTTGTAGAAGGGATGAAGGGACCACAGAACCCTAGAAGTTCAATCCTAGGCCAGGATTAATGATGACAAGAAAATTGAGTCAGAGTTTGACAACCTTCTCAGTGGACTAGACTGATTCCAGGACATGAGGCTATCAGGTAGTTTTTAGGCCAACCCTAGGAAGTACAAAGTAGGACAAGCTCCCTCATGTTACCAGATATTCTAGCCCTGTTTCCTGGAACTGCTCCTCCAAAATTTGCAAGTCACTTTTAGTGATGTCTCTTTATTCTGACTTTGTTAGAAATGGAGTTTTGACTCCTGCATTCAGATCCTGCCTCTGGTATTTCCTAGATGTGCCACCATGGACCAGACAATTAAACTCTCTGAGGCTTGGTTTTTTCATCTATAAAATGGGGATAATAATATCAATAGTACCTATTTCACAAGGTTGTCAAGAGGCTCAAGTGAAATCATGTATGTAAAGTGCATTGCCAACTTAAACACAACATGTTCTTATTATAATTTATAACTATATATATTTATTACAATTTCTCCAACATGGCAGTCTTGTTTTCGAGAAGAGAATTTTGAACAGGGATTCAAAGCACAGCAAAGGGCAATGATATTAATAATATTAGTAACTGACATTTACATAGTATGTTCAAGTTTGCAAGGCTCTTTACATATCACATTTGTTTCTCATAGCGCTCTGTGAGTTAGGTACAGGTATTTAAAAAAAATTTTTTTTATTTCAAGCATTAATACCACACATGAACATTTTAAGATGCAAGGAATAGAAAAGGAAGGGTGTATATTAGCATGGTAGCTCCTTGAAAGTGAGGATATTTCTTTAAATTCTTTGTTTTTAATTTCACTTTGTTGATTTTTTATATTATTATTATTTTGTTGATAGAGAGATGTTCCCCCTGCATCCCTACCCTTCCTATCTCTTTTAACAAAGAATTTTAAAAATAAGAGGAAAAAGAAAAAAAATAAAACCAATGAATACATTATATGCAACGCTCCCCATCCACAGGACCTACACCTCTGCAAAAGAGGAAGAAGATGTACCTTCTTTGGGATAAACTTGGTCATTATACAAGCATTATTAGAGAAGAAATTCAGGCACAAAAAATTCAAATATCTGTACAAAATTCAAAGCAGGGACTTTTATCCTGGGGTCCATAGATCTCTAAGGGGTCCATGAATAATAGTAAGGGGTTCAGAAAGTCTGTGAACCAAAAGGGAAATTTTACATCTTTAGTTTTACTATCCTCTAACTGAAATTTCGCATTTCCTTCAATAACTTCAAAACATTATTCTGAAAAATGGTTCATATGCTTTACCAGGCTTCCAAAAGTGTTTATGCCACACAAGGAATGTTAATAGCCTTTCATTTAAAGAATGACTTGTTTCAAACCACTGATTTTTGTTTGCAGACTGAATCTCCACTTGTAGTTCGACCCTATTTATCACTTCTCACCAAGTCTGAGCTCCATGCAGTCATGACTGCAGGATTTTCAACCATTGCTGGAAGTGTCTTAGGTGCATATATTTCTTTTGGGGGTAAGTGAAAAGGCTTTTGGAATTTCATTATGGAAAATGCAATCTGTTTCTCTTGCCTTCTATGTCCTTTTCCTGTCTCTCCAGTGATGAACAAAGGGGTGGGGGCAGTGACCTGGTTTGTGATTGCCATTATTAGCAACTGTGGTAATATAGAAAAGGTCTAGTATCTCACCTCTATATCTTTGCCTCATCAGCTATTTTTGAAAAAGAATGAGTTTTTATGAGAAATTGGTACCAAAATGACTATGGATATTAGATACTTCTATGGATATGTGATCTCATTGATGTGGGCATTACTTTATCACCAGAGCTAATCACAAATCTTTCATGCCTTCTAATCTTTTAATATAAATAGAAAATTCATAGTGACATAAACAGATTAAATTTATATTCTTGAATGCCTATAGTCTAAAACGGTGGCCTACCATAAAGTTAGCAGTCTTTTTGATTGGCAGCCCCTGTGAGAAAAAACAAATGAGCATGCACCCCCCAATACGTGTTGTCTCATATTAGAGTAAATGTAAGCTCCTTAAGGGCAGGGACTGCTTAATTTTTTTTTCTCAGTGCTTAGCACAATGCCTGGCACATAGCAGTCACTTAATAAATGAATGTTGATTGCTAGATTCTTAGATGATAGACTGATGGATTCTGTCACACAACAGTTGGACAAATAAATTGAAAGCAAACACAGATTCATCTGGGGAATGAAGGTGCTAGGAAGGTTTATGGACCAGAGAAGCTGGAATGTTTCTGGAATAGGGCACAGACACCAAGTGTGAGGGAAGAGAAAGAAGCCCATAGGAGTGGGCAGGCCTGATCTGTGTGAGTGACTGGGGCAAAGTCAATAGTTATCCATCAGTCAATAATCATGGAGCTAATGATATATATCATTATATACAGAACATACTTAAAATGAATACAAAACAAATGGGGGGGAATAGGTGGGGCATGTAGAAAGTGACTATGCTAAAGGAAACCAGGTATTCTAAGAGAGGTAGTAAGGAGGGATATGTTCGGGGCTGGGAACAGGGGAGGCAAGGAGGACAGATGGAGAAATGTGTGTAAGGGCAAGAAGGCCACTACAGCTGGACCTATATAGAATGTGTACAAAGGAGTAACGTATAAAAAGCCCTGGAAAGGTAGGAAGGAGACAGGTAGTAAAGTGCCTTAAAAATGCCAGCAAAGAAGTTTATATCTGATCCTGAGGTCCTATAGGGTGTTTACTGATGAGAGAGACAACATGGTCTGAGATCTTCGTGTGTGGCACTATTCAGCCATGTCTAACTCTTCATGACCCCCATGGACCATAGCATGCCAATACTGTCCATGGGAGTTTCTTGGCAAAGAAACTGAATTGCCAAAGGGGGTCAATAACACTGAAATGGTTAAGAACTCCTAGGCTAGATGGGCTATGCTCCTTCCGGTCTGAGATTTTGTGATTTTCACTTGCCTAAACCTCTCAAAAACAAAACATAGGAGCTAAATGATGCTGGACCTAGAGTCAAGAAAACCCGAGTTTGAATTTGGCCTCAGAATCCTTGCTAACTGTGTGACCCTGGGCAAACCTTAACCTCTCAGCCTCAGTTTCCCCAACAGTAGAATGTAATGAGAGCAGCATCTTTCTCCTAATATTGTTATGAGGATAAAATAAGGTAGTATTTGTAAAGCATTTATAATTGTTAAAGTACTATAAAATATCAATCGTTATTATAATAAATTTTTTTATTTAAAAATAATTGGACATCACATCAACTCCTTATCTCTGATGAGCTTTCTAAAGATCTTATTACCTTTTGACTAATGTTTATAAGAGGATGTATCAATGAATGAAGAACATCAGCTAATTCTCTTACATTTGAAATTACAGGTTTCAGCATCACATTTGTTAACTGCTTCAGTGATGTCTGCCCCTGCCTCTCTGGCTATTGCTAAATTATTTTGGCCTGAGACTGAAATTCCTAAAATAACTCTCAAGAATACCTTGAAAATGGAGAAAGGGTAAGTAGGGGCATATTCATCCATCTTTCACAAAAGGTAATAAGGCTTGTATAACCTGTCTCCTCCAGTAGATTTTCCCCTGCTTTGTTTCCCCCGGGAAAAGAATAAAAGGAAAATTCCAAGTATGGTAAAATCTCAATTAACCAGAACATTCAGGGAATGAGGTACTCTGGTTCATTTAATTTTCCAGTTATCACTTAGGCTTAACCAGAAATCCCTTTTTTATTTCTACCCTCATTGCCGAAAATCTTTCTAAATGTAATAATCCAATTTCCTGCTTTGGAAAATACAGTACAGTGAGCATAATTGAATCTCTTTGATTAAGGAGCTTGTGATGCCTCAGGGTGGTGATCATTCTGAAGATCTGCTCTCATTGTGATGTAGCATTATAGGCAATCGCCTGTATGAGTTCTGGCCCGGAAGAAGAAAAAAAAGAAAATATGAAATCCCTATTTTCTCTACTCTTTATCAATCAACTATAATCATACAGAGACTATATCTTAACTGACTGATACTTCTGAGTTATGGGTTAATTTTTTGAATTAATTTTTATTCCAAACATTACAACCAATGTGCAGAGAAACAGACACATACACCACTTTAAAGTTATCTCAGTGGCGCTTCTATAGAGATCTTGTTTTGTTTTGTTCATGCCTTTTGTTTTCGACATCACATTCATTTCCCAATGTATTCCTAACACATCTGACAACATATAACAATGTCTAACATATAATAGGTATATAACAACAATAATAATAGATAACATATACACACACAAATGTTTAAACATTATATATAAACCTTAAAATGTTTTATACATGCTAAGGTTTGCAAGCACTTAACAATTATCTCCCTGGATACTTAAATAAGAATCCATAGTGTGTAAAGTTTAAACCAGCTTGACATTTTATGAGAATACCTCAGAACAAGATCCTTGCAGTATATATAGAAGAATGAATCATAGCTCTGGAGCTGGAAGGGACCTCAGAGACCAGGGGTGGGGAACCTATGGCCTCAAGACCACATGTCGCCCTCTAGGCCCTCAAGTGTGGCCCTTTGACCGAATCCAAGCTTTACAGAAGTTGAGGACCTAGAGGGCCACATGTGCCCTCAGTAGCAGGGTCCCCACCTGATCTAGCTTAACTACTCCCCGCCCCATTTTATAGATGAGAAAACTGAGGCCCAGGGGAGTTAAATGACTTGTCCACAATCACACAGACAGTAACTGAGGTGGGATTTGAATGTTGGTCCTTTGCTCCAGCTGAGGAGTAATGAGGCTTTGTTCCATAATGGTCAGGTTGCCTTTTTTAAAAGTGTTTTTTGGGGCAGCTAGGTGGTGCAGTGGATAGAGCACCAGCCCTAAAGTCAGGAGGACCTGAGTTCAAATCCAGCCTCAGACCAAACACTTGACACTTAATAGCTATGTGGCCCTGGGCAAGTCACTTAATCCCAATTGCCAAAAAAAAAGTGTTTTTTAATTGGCAAATATTGTTTCAACAAACAGATACTAACTGAAAAAACAAACCATGTGCCTTCCACCAGCACTGCCCTCTTTCCTGATTCTCTCCCTCAAAAAACATATTCTCACAAAATAATTAAGCCAAATCAGGCAGTTTTTTTTACTTAAGGTACAACATGAACTGAGCTAGTATCCATCCACCTGGAAATGAATAATTATCTATCTTATACTTAGTGACACAGGGTTCTAAAACGCACAAAACTACATAACAACAAAACAGAAAAGAGTTTGAAATGTTGAACAAAATATTTTTAGGGTAAGTATTTATAATTTGTCTTTACGTGCAAATGCTGTAGGCAGTCCCCAACTGGTAATGAAGCCTGCTGATTCACCAAGAGAATAGTTTCCAAACTGTACTTCTAATTCACATTCCTGAGATGTGACAGCTTGAAATGTGATTCAGTTCCATGAAGCAAATATTTAAGTATTTACTCTGTGCTTATAAAAAGAATCAGTATCCTTTTAATTTGAACTTTTTAAAAAAGTATTCTTTTTCAGAAATATTTACAAAAGGGGGTATGGAAAAATAGGTTTATTAATGCATTGTGGGTGGAACTGTGAACTGGTCCAGCCATTCTGGAAAATAAATTGGAACTATACCCAAAGGGCTACTATGCATATATAACCCTTTGACCCAGCAATACTACCACCAAGCCTAAGGTCAAAGGAAAAGGACTTGTATGTGCAAAAATATCTATAGTAGCTTTTTTTGTGGTGGCAAAGAATTGGAAACTGAAGAGATGCTCATCAATTAAGGAATGGCTGAACAAGCTGTACTAAATGATTGTGATGGGTTACTATTGTGCTTTACGAAATGACTAGGGGGAAGCAGCTAAGTGGTGCAGTGAATAGAGCTCTGGCCTTGGAGTCAGGAGGACCTGAGTTCAAATCCCACCTTAGACACTTAATTAACACTTATTAGCTGTGTGACCCTGGGCAAGTCACTTAACCCCTATCACCTCACCAAAAAGCAAAAAAAAAAAAAAACGACTAAGGGAATGGTTTCTGAAAAACCTGGTAAGATATACATGAGCTGATGCAAAGTCAAGTGAGCAGAACCAAGAGAACACTGTACACAGTAACAGCAATATTATAAGGTTGATAAACTATGAAAGATTTAGTTACACTGTTCAACACAGCAATCCACAGTTCCAAAGGATTCATGATGAAAAATGCTATCTGCCTTCAGAGAGAGAACTGCTGAACCCTAAAGGCAGATTGCAGCATATTTTCTTTCACTCTAACTTTCATGCTTTTTCCCCCCATGACATGGCTAGGGTGGATATATGTTTTGCATGACTTCAAATACATAATGGGTATTTCTTGACTTCTCAGTGGGCGGGAGAGAGGCTGGAGGGAGGGAGAGAATTTGGAACTAAAGAACAAAAATTTTAAAGAAATATGTCTCCAAGAGATTGTCAAATATCTCAGTTTTACATTCTGCTTAAACTACGGTGTTGAGTAGCTTCTAGGATTTAATAAGAACCTTCATCTGAGCTGGCATTTTGGAAAACAATTTGGAATTTTCCTTAGTCATAAAAATGTCCATACCTTTTGATTTAAGAGATTCTACTTCTTAGGCATGTACCCCAAAGGAAGCAAAGCTATGAAAGGTCCCATATACACCAAAATGATCTTCATAGTATTTTTCTTTTTTTTCTTCAAAGTGACTTGCCCAGGCTCACACAGCTAGTGAGTATCATGTGTCTGAGTCCGGATTTAAACTCAGGTCCTCCTGACTCCATGGCCAGTGTTCTATTAACTGTGCTACCTTGCTGCCCCAATAGTACTTTTCAAAGATGCAAAGAACTGGCAATAAAGTAGATGACCACTGATTGGATATGGTGTTAAACAAGTTCTGGTTCATGAGTGTGATGGAATGTGACTACTATTAAAAATGGTGAATATAAAGGATACATAGAAGCATTAGAAAACTGATATGAACTAATGTAAAGTGAACTCAGCCAAACTATATAACCATACCTAATGATTATAGTAATATAAATGAAAGGATAATATTTTTAAAAATCCTGAACTCTGTGTAATTATAATTACCATGCTTAGCCCCAAAGAAGAGATGAGAAAATATACCTCTTTACTTTCATTATAGAAGTAAGGAACTCATACGTGCTCAACATTGCATACATGTGCTTAGTTTTGCTGAACTGACTTTTCTTTGTTACAAGAAATTTTTTTCTGCGTAGGGAAATGAGGAAGGATTTGTTTGGAAAAGAAGGAACAGTAATTTTTTTTTTACAGGAAAAAAAAAAGACCTTGGTTGGAATTCACCATATGATCATGGCTGAGTGACTTAATATATCAGAGTCTCAGCTTCCTCATTTATAAAATGGGCATGATAACATATGCACTGTGAAACCAACACTTGTTGTAAGGGCATCAATTTATAATCTTATCACTCAGCAAACAAGCATTTTTTTAGTAACATTATTTTTTTCTCCAATTACATTTTAAAATAATTTTTAACATTATTTTTATTATTTTGAGTTCCAAATTGTCTCCTTCTCCCCTCTCTGAGGTGATAAGCACTTTCACATAGGTTATACCTGTGCAATCATGCAAAACATTTCCATATTAATCATGTAGTGAAAGAAGACACAGACTAAAACAAAATGAAAAAAAAATTAAAAAGTGAAAAATAGTATGCATCGATCCACACTCAGACTCCATCAGTTCTTTCTCTGGATGTCGATAGATAGCATTTCTCATTGTGAGTCCTTTGGAATTGTCTTGGATCATTGTGTTGCTGAGAATAGCTAAGGCATTCATAGTTGATCATCACACAATATTACTGTTACTGTGTGCAATGTTCTCCTAATTCTGCTCACTTCACTCAGTATCAGTCCATACAAGTCTTTCCAGGTTTTTCTGAAGTCAGCCTGCTCATCATTTCTTATAGCACAATAGTATTCCATTACAATCATATACCACAACCTGTTCGGCCATTCCACAATTGATGGACATCTCCCTCAATTATCAATTCTTTGCCACCACACACAAAAAGAGCTGCCATAAATATTTCTGTACAGATAGGTCCTTTTCCCTTTCTTTGTTCTCTTTGGGATACAGACCTAGTAGTGGAATTGCTGGATCAAAGGGTATGTACATTTTGCTTGCTGTTTGGGCACAGCTCCAAATTGCTCTCTAGAATGGTTTAATCTATTCACAACTCCACCAACAGTGTATTAGTGCATCCCCTCCAACGTTTTTCATTTTGCTTTTCTCAATAACATTTATTAAGCATCTATTATGTGCCAAGCACTGTACTAGGCACTGAAGATCCACAGGCAAAAAATAGCTCCTGCCCTCAAGGATCTTAAACGTTCCGGGGGGAGACAATATATATACCTATAAATCTATACGAAGTAAACACAAGAGGAGACACTAACGTAGAGGATGGGGGGGGGGGAATTAGGGGGAAAAGCCTCATTTGAAGATAGCGTTTGAGCTGAGTTTACATTTATATTTAGCACAATGCCTGGCACATAGGGGTTCTTGATAAATGCTTGCTGATCTGATTGATTATTAATAACAATAATTAAACATGAGTTCCATTGAGTATTTCTACTTGAGAACAAAGAAAAGTATTTTAATCCACGTTGTTCTCAGGGTCACAGTATACAGTAGTGCTAGTTGCGTAAGAATTTATTGGATTCCTGAGCAGTGAAAACTCCCTGGAAGCACAACTCTAATATTGAACTTGGTGGATAAATAGTTTATTTAGTGCCACTAGTCATGCAATAGGCCCTAGATGAAAAAGGATGATGGATTGAAAGCTGGAAGGATCTCATAAGTCCTCTAGCTCAAGGATTCACATATAATCTGGAGTAGGTAAACTTGTTTTTAATAATAGTTGATAACTGCTGTTCACCATAACTGGCTTCTTTTGTAATCCATAGTTTTTATTTCAAGCCTTTAAAAACATTTTTTTTCCTAAGAAGGGGTCCCTAGGCTTTACCAAACTGCTCAAGGGGTCCAAGACACAAACAAGTTTAAGAACCTCTGCTCTGGTCAACCCCAAATGAGAAAGAACACTAAGACCAGGAAAGTTAAATGCTTTGACCAAGGTTATACAAATAATAAATAGCCAACTTGGTATTCAAACTTAGCTTCTCTGCTTCCAAATCTGGCATTCCCTCCACTGTACCACTGTACCACAGTACCTCTTTTTAATAGTCTATGATTCTAACATATAATGGGTATCATATTTCTTGCCTTTCCATTGGGTGGAGCAAGAGGTAGAATAAGAGAGAATTTGGAACAGAAAATAATTTTTTTTAAATAGCCTATGATTCTAGATTTAGAAGAAATGATAAAGTCAGTTGAGAGACTATGAAATAAATCTTCAACCAGTATGGCCTCTGCTCCATTGCCACTTTTCTCCCTCCCCAATAGTTCAACAAGTCAACTAGGTTTAAAAGAAAATTGTTAAGCACCTGTGATATGAAGCTCTGGGAATACAAAAAGAAATATGAAATGGTCCCTTTCCTTACATTCTGCTGGAGTGGGGAAGGAACACAACATGTATGTAAGAATTAAATATATGGAATTTGAGAAAGGAGAAAGCACTAGAAACTATGGATGAAGTACGGGGAAAGGTTGGACAGAGAACTCTTCACAAGGGAGGTAACATGAGTGTGACTTTGAAGAAAGGGAAATCTCCAAAGAGGGTTGAATGAGAGAAGGCATTCAAGGTCAGGTGGTTTTGCAAATGCTTGGAAGAGGTAGGAGAAGGAATCTTGAGTTCTCAGAACAGCTATGAAGAGGACCTGATTAAAGGGGAAGAAAGAAGAAAAACCAATGGAAAGAGAACAGCTGTTAACTTCATCTTCACAATGAGAGGGTTGACTTTGGGGGTTCCTTTGAACTTTAGAACTATGAAGCCCCAAGAGGCCGAATGAGAATCCTGAAAACTGAGGGTTTGATTTTTTTTTAATGTCCTGCAGTGTTCTTGCAAAGCCTGTGGACCCTTTCTCAGAATAATGCTTTTACATGCATGGAATACAATACATAGGATTACAAAGGAAATCAATTATATTAAAATAGAGTCCTCAAAATATTTTTGGAAATACGTTCATGGGCATCAGGTTAAGAACTCCAACCTTGGAAGCCAAGCAAATGAAATTTGAAGAAAAGTTTGTTAAGGGAGGGTAGTTAGCAAAGTCAAATGTTACAGAGAGGTTTAAGAATGAAAAATGGCCTCTGGATTTAGAAATTTAGTCACTACATAATGTTCAAAGAGTAGTTTCTTAGTGGAATTATGGGGCAGAAGTTAGACAGCAGGAATTAATCTGGAGAGAGGTCCATCAGTGTAAGCATTTACTAGATACCTACTATGGTCCAGGCAGTGTGCTAAGCTCTGGTGATACAAAGAAAGACAGAAGACAGTCCCTACCCTTGAGGAGCTCACAGTCCAATGAGGAAGACAACATTCAAACAACCTTGTACAAATGAAATATAGAAGGATAAATAGGAAATAATTAACATAGGGAAAGTGCTAGCATTAAGACAGGTAAGCAAGGAAGCTAGTGTTCTTTGAAGAGGAAGTAAATATAGTGGGCATGGAGCATTCTTTAGATAAACCTTTTTTTTTTTTGGTAGTGGGAAGAAGAGGCCAAGGTGAAGAAAGATAGGTTTTTCAAGAAGCAGGAAAGAATGGCAAGAAAGGTCCAAGTTCCCTTTAAATAGATTTTTAAATAGTTTGGTAAAGATATATACAAGGTTTGAGGTATAGAAGAAAGGGAATAGGGTCCCAAAGAACTAGGGTTTGCCAGAAGCAGAGTTCTGAGGCCTTTCCATGTAGACACCAACTCTTTCAGCCAAGGCAAGCCTTTCTTCTCATCTGAAACAGCTCTGCTTCAGTCATACCCATCACTGTGTTGACTCCAACTGACCTAGAAATTCCTCTTTAGTGTTGGAATTCTGTTTTCTTGATATAGGGACTCGAGAAATCTCCTGGAAGCAGCAAGCCATGGAGCCTCCTCCTCCATCTCTCTGGTGGCAAACATCGCTGTGAACTTGATTGCTTTCTTGGCCCTCCTGGCTTTTGTGAATTCAGCCCTTTCCTGGCTAGGGAACATGTTTGACTACCCTCAGCTGAATTTTGAGGTACACCTTTTTTCAGACCTTTTCACTCCAGTGGGTACTGTTTTCAAGTGTGTTAAATAATATTTGAAATTTGAAACTATTTGAAATAAAGACCCATATTCTGCTACTATAAAGCATAAGCTTCCAATATTCTACCCTCTCCCATATGTACATTCAATTTAATTTGACTAATATTTATAAGTGTAAAGAAAGTAATGCAAAATAACTTCACAAAATAGCAAGCACCAGCAACTGAGGGGAATCAGTAGGAAATGTCAGAAGGATGCTGGGAATTCAGTGCTATGTACATTAGAAGGGAGTACATTCCAGACATGGAAAACTGCTTTGTGTAAAGGCACAGAGAAAGAAGATAGGGTTGTAGACAGGTAATAGCTAGCAGTCTAGTTGAACTGGAGAGAAGAGTTACATGAAATAAGATTAGAAAAGTTGTAGAGGACCTTAAATTTAATTCCATATATCTAAACCCTTTCTAATACACCTCCATCTTTTCTCTCCTCTCCAGTACACTGCCACACCTCGTCCCCTTCCCACCCCATCCCCACCAAAGCACCATCATATTTCAATCTACCTTCTTGTGGCAAGCAGGTGCTTGGATTAAAGCATTTCTTTAGATGCCATAGAACATCACTTATATATGAGGCTTGGGTTGAGAAACTAATAAGTAATTGGATTCCAAAAAGTTTGGGGATCATGATTACTTACAATCACTATGCATCCTCTGGTCTTGTTTTTGTAGGTGATCTGCTCCTATGTCTTCATGCCTTTTTCTTTCATGATGGGGGTTGACTGGCAAGACAGCTTTCTAGTTGGTGGACTGATAGGATATAAGACTTTCTTCAATGAATTTGTAGCCTTCCAACAACTTGGAAAAATGATCAAGTTGCGAAAACTAGCTGGACCCAAATTTGTAGATGGTGTGCAACAATATATATCTGTGAGTACCTTCATTATTTTGCCTTCCAGATGGGGTCTTCAGTTCACTGTATGTATATTAACATGCCATTTTGACTTGTGTTTAATGTTTTATTTCAAGAAAGAAACCTAGGTTGTCAGAATGGAGCAACAAATCCTTTGTCAAAGTTGTGGTCTATTTCTGAGCAGCATAGGAACAGGCCCAAGACCACATTTGTCTGAGAATTTAGTAAAAGGCTACAGGGAATATCAAAATTTACTGTTGTCATACATTGGGATGGGGTGGGATGAGCTCTGAACCTGTAGATTCTAAATGAATGAATATTCATTGAATAAATTCAATGAATTTCCATTTTGCTACTTCCTCCCTGTGAAAATTTAGGCAAGCCACCTAAATGAAGATGGAGCCTCAATTTCCTCTTCTGTAAAATGGGGATTTGTACTGGATGAACTACAGTATCTTCTAACTCTTCAATCTATGAAAGTCCTTCAACTACAAATCCAGTTTGCTTTCCCACTGTACCAGGCTGCCTCCCTTTCTATTTCCTATTTCTGAGCAATAAAGCTGGTGCTTTGGTTACATCTTAGTTCACAAGGAAAAGGTAAGGAATATAAAAAGGTCAGTTTGGATGGTCTGACAGTATCCACAATAGTAAGCAGATGGAGTCCAGGCAGAAGACTACAAAAAAATCATAATGATATCCCCTTGAGCTTTACTCACATACAGAGCTTTGCCCAAGCTTCCAGCCAATCAGGATGAAAGACCGCACTTTCAATGGTTCTAGCTTTTAACACTTTCCCCCACTAACTTCTCTTCTTTTTTTCTTTCCTTCCACCCCCTTTTTCTTCTCTTTATCTAGCCCATAAGATTTAGTAACAATCTACTTAGCTTCAGAAGAAGATATAAAATTTTTTTTGCCTTTTTTTGTGTGTGAGGTGATTGGGGTTAAGTGACTTGCCCAAGGACACACAGCTAGTAAGTGTTAGTGTCTGAGGCTGGATTTGAACTCAAGTCCTCCTGACTCCAATGCTGGAACTCTATCCACTGTGCCACCTAGCTGCCCCAAGAAGACATACACTTTTGAACATGACCAATGTGGAAAAGTATTTCCCTGAACTATGCATCTTAATTATATGAGGGTGTATATGTGTGATGATATTTTTTTTAATTGTTCAATTGGGAAAGATAGTATGAGGGAAAGATAATGCATCCAGAATTTTTTTTAAAAAAATAACTGAAGATTAAGTACATACAAATTGAAAAATAAATGATTGCCTAACAATAACCACAAAAAAGCAACTTAATACTTCACTCAGAATGGCTTAGCACTCAACACCTGAAACCTTGGTTAAACCATTAAAGTTAACTTATTCGCTAAGACTCCTCCCTTTTAGGATTCTTGAGGCTAGGGTTAGCTGGCACCGTGCCAATAAATGACCTTCATAGAATAACAGATTTAGAGCTAGACAGAATTTTAGAAGTCTTCTAGTCCAGTTTGCTCCATTTCACAGTTGAGGCTACTATGGTCCAGAATGGTTAAATGACTTTTCTGAGCTCACATAGGTGGCAATCAGTAGGGCTGGAATTTGAACCCATGCCCTCTGATTCCAAACCCAGTGCTGTCCTGTTGGAGTTTTATACAATGAGCAATGAGAGACCAATGTCAAGGTCAAAAAAGTTCAGGGGAGAGGAAAGAGCCACTTGAACTTTCTGGAATGGGATCTGCTCATGGCTTGTGGTGTTTCACCTGGATCTATCCCAGTCTGAGTTGTACACTTATCTATTCACCTATGGAACTCTCTTTTCTCCATAGCTCTTAACTCTACTGGCATTTTTTCACTATTATTAGAGAGCCACTGTAAACAGTGACATTAATTCAAGATCAAAAGTAATGCTACTACCCCCTATATACTGCTTATCTGCTTCCATTGCCAGCTGGAAGACTCACTGGTCCTCAACATGGATTAATAAGATGGGATTGTTTAGTCAGACAATCCATTTGGCTTACCTAGACATAGAATTTTACACAGTCCAACCAATTCAGAGTCAGTTATTCTTGACTAATTCAAATGAATAACAACATGTAAAACCCAATAAAAATAACCACACATTGGTCATTAATGACATTATAATCTCTAAACTGGTTTACAAATTCCCCACCTTTACTGGCAACATTCCTATAGTGCTTATAGATACGTTCAAATAATTTTGTCCCAAGGTCTCGGCAACTAGGTGGCACAATAGATAGAGCACTAGACTAAGTATGAGGAAGATAGTCACTGGATAAGTTCCTTAAAATCTATTTGTCTTGGTTCCTCATCTGTAAAATGGGGAAAATAATAGCACCTGCTTCATGGAGCTGTTGAGAAGATCAAATGAGACATCTTAAAGTACTTTGCAAACCTTAAAGCTCTTTATAAGAGCTAGCTATTATATTATTAGCATATATCATTATTATGTTTGTTTTTATTTTATTTACTTGTATTTTTATTATGTTCTATTTTTATAAGAATATACTGTATAATATATAGTACAATATAATATGTATGTAATAATATAATACATAGTATAAAAATAAATCTTAATCATTCCTCTTTTCAACCATCCCATTCTCCTGCACAAGACAGAAAGAAGGTGTGGTTTTTCCATTATCATTTTGCTTCCTACAGCTAATTCTGAAGTGTGAAATTGAGGCTTGTTTTTATCCCCTACACTTCCTGGTGTTCAAACAGGGCTAGTTTGTGGGACTAGTACTGATTTGCCCATGACTTCTAAGACCTTTCCTCCTCTGGAACTCCCCTAAAACACTCAAATCTTGCCACTATAGATTTCCCTGAGATGAGCGTGGCATGGTATATTTGTATAATAGATACAGCCAGCATAGGTAGATGAAGAGACCAAAGCCAGAATAGGAAACTCTCTTACAATATACATAGATAGATAGATAGATAGATAGATAGATAGATAGATAGATAGATAGATAGACAGACAGATAGATATAGATATAGATATAGATATAGATATAGATAGATATAGATAGATATAGATATAGATATAGATATAGATATAGATATAGATAGATATAGATATAGATATAGATATAGATAGATATAGATATAGATATAGATATAGATATAGATATAGATAGATATAGATATAGATATAGATATAGATATAGATATAGATATAGATATAAGCTCTTTTATGGTCTAGGTATGGTATTGCTATTATATGTAGGATTTCTAAGGGAGCAAAGTTTTTATCTTAGGTGTCTACTAGGACTTTGGATCATCATATGCTAATAGGTCTCCATGTTTTTGTTGGCTTCTTCCTACCTTTTTTTTTGGTTAGGCAATGGGGTTAAGTAACTTGCTCAGGGTCATACAGCTAGTAAGTGTTATGTGTCTGAGGCCGGATTTGAACTCAGGTCCTCCTGAATCCAGGGCTGGTACTCTATCCACTGCACCACCTAGCTGCCCCCTTCCCTCTATCTTTTGCACTAGCATGCAAAAATTTCAGTTGGGACCAATATGGATATTGGTACACTTCCCCTCTAGGTTGAAAATCCAAGAAAAGTCTTGACAATCCTGGTCCAGTGTTCCTCTAGACTCCTTCTGTCCCCAGTTTTATGATGTGCCTTGCTAGCCTTGTCACAGTCTAGTCTTAGCCCTCAAAGACCTCTTCTCCAATTCTCCTTTGTTCTTGAACATCATTAGTTCCATATTCAGGGATCAATATGCCAATCAATTCTTTCTTCACTGCATCTTGATTTCTCCAGAAAATTCCATCTGTTTACTGTTGAAGTTGATGGATATATGTGTAAATGTGTGTATGCGCTCTCACATTCTGTTAAGCCCATTTTACTCCAAACATCTGCATTGTCTAATAAAAAGCATTAGAGCAAGGCAATCCTGATTCAGATACTTGCAGCACAAACATCTAAGTGTGGAGTGACCAGAATGACATAAGATCACAACATATTCTTCCAGGATAGTAGTTGTCAATGGATTCAATGTCTCTCTTTAATCTTACCCATCATGGGCTCAGGCTAGAGTAGGTAGGGGTAGCCTGTGGGTTTTTTTTGTCAGGGGAAGTCACGGTGAGAGTAGACCTGTGATTTTATCAGTGTGTGGAACTCCCAGTGTGGACGTACCTTCCACCAGTATGGATCAGGAACCTTTCTATGAGTTAAATTCTAAAATCTGAGGTTCTCAAAGGACCTGCCTCAAGTTTCACTAGGCATGCCATGGAATTATTATCTGGTATTGAAGATTATTATCTGTTAATTATTATCTATTACTGAAGATTAAAAAAAAAGTTTATTATTTACCCATTCATCATACACAGTACAGTCAGTATAGTATTCACAAAATAAAAAAAAAAATTTGCCTATTACCTGTAAGCACTAACCTCAAAACACATCAGATCTTGAACTCAACCAAATGGCTGTCTTTACTGTAGGTAGATTGCCTTTACAAGTGTTCCTGATTCTGTTGTACTGTATTCTGTGTGTGACTCCTCATGGCATGCTAGTAACAAAAAAAAAAAGTTTAAGAACCACAGTCTTGAAGGGCTAGGAAATCCTGGTGAGGAAACTCCCTCTAGTAATGCAGATGAGTGACTATTCTACAATTTACTGTTTTAGAGAGTTGCCTGGGGCACTTAAAGATTAAATGATTTGCTCTTCTTGGTCACATATTCTTTATCCAACCCAACTCTTTCTGACTTCCTGACTGGCAGGTCTCCTATCAACAGAGCCATAATGCTTCTTACTATAATGACAATACAGATGAATAGCATTAAGAGATGGTATGTAGAAAGAACGATATATCACACTCTGCTCCCATTAGTTCCCATTCTCATTTGCCTCTTCCAAAATTTCTGGTGTTTTCCCCAGTCCTGACTAGCTGATGTGGGCTATATGATTTCACATGTACACACATACTCATCACCAAAAATTTAGTCACAGGATGGTGAAATTTCCAAGATACAGAAACACATGATGGAGAGGTTGCATCACT